CCTCCATCGCTGTTGCAGCGTTTGCAAAGTTATTCAGCATTACGGTGGCAGCACTTGATATCAGGAATGCTTTAGGCTCATGATACTCAGTCAGACATGGGAACGCAGGCCTGTTATTTTACTTGGCGAGCTTAAGGTAACAAGCTCTTGCATCTTAACACTGTGTTAATCCAACCTACTCCAACCAAACTGAAAGTTTCACACAGTGCTCACTTTTATGATAGCTGGTTGGTGGCTGTCTAAACTCATAAAATTTGAATCAGGATGAGCAAAGTGAAGCGTCGGAGTTTAGCCGCACCGAATTCAATGCGAAGAAGATCGGAAGCAATGGACGTCAAGTGGAACATTTAATTTGTTTGGATTATGACGGCATAATCCGACTTCAGGAAACCGAGGTTTATCGCTCACTCTTTTGGCTGGAACAATTCAAGCGCTGTATAATCGAAATTACAAAACAGCCAGGAGAAGGAGGTAAAAGTGAGTTCTAGTGTTATAAACGAAGTAATTAAGCTATCAAGAGGATACGCCCACCTTTGAGGCCCAAGTCAACAGAGTACTCTTCTGAATGGTCTCACTGTTGGTTGGTCCTGTCCAGATTGCTGGCATTTTCATTAACGGCCGGCGTCTGGGTAAATAGCCTCAGTGATTCTGCACTGCCTTTCTGCGTTTATCGAAAGTTTTGGTTGAATATACTGAGGCTGGTCAATCAAGGCCGTGTGATTCTCTGATAAATAATGCACAGGATTGGCTGATTATATTGCTGAGATGAAAATACCGGAGATTTTCTTCAAAAGCTCCCCAAACATAATGGTGAGTTCTGATAAGATTTATCAATTTCAGAGAAGGCTTGATTAAAATCCAAGTGAATCTATAACATTACCATTCAATGCATGTGCCCCACACAGGCTCTTCGGTGCTTCATTTGGAGCGACAATCAAGATGTCCAGTTATTTTCCATTACGTGACACTACAAACCCGATGAAAGATCTGGACAGCGCTATTGGCAGTTTTTTCTTGTTGTCAACAGACAGCGACGGGATCCACAAGTTCGCAGGACATATGTTCTATTTAAACATTACAATTTGCGCGTTTGGCGGCTTGCGCTAATTTCTCCACTTGTTGGTGAGAAGAAGGGCGGTACAGGGGTTATTCTGTCCACAGTTTTAAACAACATTATCCATAACGCTATGTGAACGAACACAGCCATATGCAATAGATGAGATCACCTTATTTTGTGGACCCTGCTTAAGTCATCTGTATACTTTTCAACCAGAAACATGCTAAAACTTGCAGATCTTAGTCCGATAATATGATGGAATTTTCACGGATCCATACATACGGAATTCTACAGTGGGTCCACGCTGTTGAATTAAAGATTGATAAGCCTGCAAGACTGCACAAGATTAGGCAAAGTGGTTAAGGTTACCCCATTGTTGCCAAGGCTGATCTGCATTGGACTAACACTAGAGGTTTTCTTGAAGTGTTGCCTAAAGACTGACATAAACTTTGATCTTTTTGAAAGGTTTTCATAGTTTTGATTGCTTGCTGATTTTGCAAAGGTAAATTCTCTCATAATTGACTGTAAGCTGAGCTGGGGCCAACATTCGTGGTATTTGTAATGACCCATCAACTACAGCTTAGCTTTCTTTGCTACGTCTTTTCAATCGGAATGACTAGTGAAACTTTTGTTCAAAGTGATTTAGGTGTCGGAAGGCTGTTTTTCTTTACAATGCTCCCCCTACTGTCGGAAGGTGTTTTTCTTTACAATGCTCCCCCTAACATGAACCCCCCTATCCGATATGATTTCGATGAGACCTTAGCTTAGTTGCTGTAAGTGATCTCATCAGCAAAATGTCGCTGGCTGACAAAACTTTGCATAACTACGCGATTCAAGCGGTGTTGTTAGACCAAACTGACGAGGTAAGTCATATCCGTTGATGTAATTAAACGAACACAAGTGTTAAACGGTATTTTAATTTTCATTCATTTTCCGCCCGTCCTTGGGTTTTCCAGGGCTAAACAAATGTGTGATCTTCACTCACACATCTGAAATTTTACACTGACCTCCGAAATTAGGTGAGTAAGTTAGTGCAATTAAACTAGGTCAGTTCAGACTGATATTTGGGTCTACTCTGTATCAAAATAGACGATTTTTCATATCTGTCCTAATTCATATTTTGTCTTTAGGACATTATGTACTTGTCTAGCACAGTTTTCGGTAGCATGTTTAGTCTTTGGATGTACTGCTTGTGTGGGGATACATTGATATATCTCCACTCCCTCCAAATATGCAAACGTGATTTATGACATCTGTGGCTGACACCGATGGACTACATACTGAACCCTTTATACGCATTCCCAACTTCATCAAACTTGTTCGAGCACTTGCATTGAGGGAAATCCCTCACTGGGCACCAAACGATCCCTTAACAAACCCGATGTCCCACAGTTGTGTTATACAGTTGACTCCTACGTGACCCATCACCTGAATCGGTCCTGAATTCGAATATTGAATAGAAGACCCAAATTATTGCAAACACAGGACTGTGGGTCAGCCAATGATAGATCAGTTATCCCAGAACACCGACCGCTGAATAGAACAATGAAAACATGGAAAGTTGATAAAATTCTTTCTAGATGCAGACAACATCTTATTTATACCTTGGCCGATGAGTGTGCTCTCAGGGTACACAGTGTAAACAATAGCATCCATTTCAGTTCCGTGATTGCAACAACGTCAAAAGATATGCTGGGACACTCAACACGTCAGCAAGACCGTCACTAGACCACCACTGGACCAGCTAAACGCTTTCAACTGTGAAAGTATTTTGGGTTTTTCTTATACGGATCACAAACAGGCAATTTCCTGCCATTCAAACTGTCCCGTAAAATCATACTTGAAAAGATTAGACTAACAGCCTTGAAACTCCAAGTTTGATTACAGTCAAGGTGCGGTTTACTACGAAGCATTGGATCCAATGATTCCATTCATCTGTGTACACCCAGAAGTGAGTGAATAGAAAAGCTTCACGCAAAGTCAGGAAAAATGAGGTACTGACATCCCAAATTTCAGCATTATTTATGAAAATTTTCGAAAATACTTGAGGTTGATTAATGTCAACCAGATGATTCAAATGTCAACACCCTCGTATGTGTTTTCTCGGGATTTTGCATATCCCTGTCACAGAGCTCATGAAATATATACATATATATATGACATGAAAAAAAGACCAGATACTCCTCTTGTTATGAAGAAACGTATTCCTACATTATGCTCAAGGTTCACCAAGATGAACAAAAAATTCTTCCCAAACGCTGAACCACCGTTGTTGTACTGAGAAATCTGGAGAGAAAAATCGATATCTCATCAAAAAAGTGGTGAATTTTGTTTTAAATTCGATCCTATCCTTCCAACATGATGACAAACTAAACTCAAAAAGTTAGGCGCCTCCAAACCGTGCTGTAAGTTGTCATCATCACTGTCTGCGTGAAATCAATATTCAACATTGATGCTTCACTGCCGCAGAACACAGGACAATTCGAGATGCAGAGGTTCATTGTGAAACAGCTCATGCAACTCAATAAAACCAGGATGAAGGAAACGAGCGAATAAACGGAAATTTTCACAAGCAAAACTACATCCGAGCAAAAACCACGGAGCGCAGGACTGTAGAAGAAAGATAACCATACAATTTCGTTCAGAAAAGTGACCATCCATAAGATATAATTTAAAAATTAAGTGGGCAGCTGAATGTGACCGATTTAGAAAGCGAAATCTGCTGCAAAACGGATTACGCTCCCAAATACCGCGGAAATGAATTCATGGCTTTTGCAACAATGTGACACGATAGCCACTAACGAAAAGACGAACATCATAGAGGCTGGGCTAACGGGAAATTTAACCCAAAGACGAAGAACAATCCAATATAGTACATTTGATTTTCTGCAAACGCCATGTGCGACAAACGGGGAAAAAGCTTTCCGCGGGGATACTTGAACGCAAACTTTTTGCCGAAAGGCAATATCAATTTTTTTTGCCTTCGAGCACAAAGATCTGAAAGGACGCTGTAGGTGCAGGCTCAAGCAAGAATGAACGGTGAATTTATGTAATCACGATACTTTGTCGAAGACTCCGTCAGTAGAAATGGAAACCGATTGATTTTATCAGCCATTAAATAGAAGAGGACACCAGAAATGCAGAGCTTAAATCCGTACTGTAACCAGATAAGATACTCATAGAAGCAGGAAAGCAATATGATTAAAATGTGTACTCAGTAAAAAAATAAACAGAGGACGTCATTTTAGATCTGTGTACTCATAAAAAAATAAACAGAGGACGTCATTTTAGGTCTCCAATTAGACAACGGATTGAAGGACACTAGGCGGCACAATGGAGAGAACAGGAAAGTGCAAGATTACTTCACAAAACAATACAACCTAAAAACGAGCCAATCAAAACAAGGGAACGAAACGCATCGCAGTAACTACTCAAGCCAATCAATGCAGATTAAAAACAGACCAAGGTACTCACGGGCAGCTCATCCGGCAAATATCTTATCACGTCGGCGGATAACAGGTGCTCTTCAAAACCTCCTAAACGCACTCAGACCAACCAACCACTGAAAACATCCCACCGTTTAATGACAAAGACTTGCAAGTTAATAACCCATCTCAGGAAACGGAACAACAGCCACTCGATGAGCAGAAAATCATGATGTCTAGCTATTTGCATTTGTCATTGAGGTTGTCATTTTTATATTTCCGACAAATTTTTGAATTTTTTACCTTAAAGAGGACCTAAATATTGGGTTGGTCTAGTAAGGAACGGCTTAGAATATCAAGGTAATATCTCCGAGATATCCCTAAATTCCCTGCCAGTTCCCTTCCTGGTATGATTAATCGAAGGACGACCCCTCTATATGATTAATATTTAAAAAGTCTTTATGACAGTGACGCAAGTGTTTTGATTAGAGTAACTAATGTACATCTGGATTTTTATGTTTGACAATTGCAAATGCTTTGCTGTATATCACTGGTTCATTTCCAGGACCGCCTTCTCTAAAATTTCTGCTTGTATCTGGAAAAGAATAAAACAGATATGTGCGGATAAAATAAATAAAATATTCGGCGTTGAACAAGCGCCTACAAAAAAGAATCATTTCGTATGAAACGTCGCCATAGAAACCTAAGCTTGAAGCACCAAAATAATCGAAAAATGAAAAAAGTTCAGTTAACAGTCTACTCCTTCCCTAAGCTGATGGGAACCAAACGTGAACTTAATCAGAATGCTTTTTTGTCCTCGTAATCCCTTTGGGAGGGAAACGACTCGCTTGTTCCACTGAGAAGGCACTTCCAAAACATTTTTGGAACGCCTAGCTTCTCAGTAAAGTGACCGCAAGCGCAAAAACTTAATTCACTGGTAAAAAGGTTGAATAAATAGTGCGTGTTTTGTGCACACATTTTGGGTTTTTCATATAAGCATCGCTCGATGAAATAAAACCAGAACTAAAGTTAAAACATTATGCTCAATTTAGCTTACTGGGTACATCCTAAAAGTTTGCGGCCATCCGCCGGAACCCGCAAAACTGAACACCGCAACAAGCGCGAAGTAGTCATGTAATCCCACATAAGAACCTAAGCAATTTTCACGTAGCTTGCTATTTTACCTTACCTCACAATGTTTAACACTAACAGGTAAATACAATCCTGTGTTCAAGAACTATGTGACGTTGCATGCTGATCTAATAGTATACTCTCTTGCAGCAAGCTGCAATAACACAATGGTGAGACAGTTCTTCCAACCTATTAAGAGTCAGTCTGCCATGTTAGAGAGCCAACTTTGGGCAGAATGTGCACGAGGGATATACGAGGTCATTAATATGCTAAAGTGTTTGCATATATGAAGAAGAACAGAATGAATCGAAAGCAAATGGTTGAAGGAGATCCGATGAACCCTTTTATTAAATAGTGATAGAAGAATAGAAGAAAGATAATATTCAACATGAAAGTGCCTTAAGCTCAGCAACTCATTTCAAATATGGAGGCAACCAGCATAAAAGAAACGAAACCCTTGCAAGCAGCGCATTACCGTACATAAGGCGAAAAGGGCTACGTTGTACTATAGATGATGTGGACGTCAGTGCAGGTGGGTATACGGTCAGATATATGCGAGTAATATAGTTATTGATCGCAGCATTCTTACGCAGCCTAAGGGGCACGTAGAGCAGAAAGTGATAGGAACTATGTGTTAGCAAAAAATACTGGTTGGAAATTATGTCATGCAAGATTATGCAAAACTTGGCGATAGAAATATCACACATTTTTCGAGCAATGTTTCTGACTTTGATTTCCAAACACATGTTCCCAATGTGACTGCAAGTGATATTCATACGTAACACCGATTATGGCGCGAGGCAGTACTTGAAAACTCAGGGCAAACCCTTGAAGGTATTGGGGGCGAGTAACGAATACTTAGTGTAAAAACAGCCTTTGTGGATTGTGGTCAGAGAATTAACGGAAAATCGACTGCTTTCGTATTGCATGGTGCCGGAAAGCCCACTGAATCACAGCGGTATCTCTCATTTATAATCATCTTCTGCAACTAAACGTGACGCACCAGAACGCCTCATTTTTCAGCTGCTACCACGTTCAAGATATCGCAGAATGTTTTCACCGATAAAATGACGGGTAATCTACTGCCGAAAACTTTCGCAGCCGATGACCGTGTCCGCCTATCTTTGGGCCCATCGGGCAGGCGCATTTTCCACTTTTTTGTCAGCCTTATATTCTACATGACCAAGAGTGGACACAATTGGCCAAATATTCAAATATGCAGTCGAAGTGTTCTCAGCAACTTTGTAAATAATGCGTTGCGTTGAGAAGTTCGACTGGTTCTGAACATTTCAGTATTGCGACCCCCATTAGGATACCGAACCTAGGAACAATTTCGTACGGTAAGAAACAGAAGTTGGTAACAATCTGTACCTTGTGATTGTCATTTTCGGAATCCCAAATAGAAAAAAAATTTGTGCTTTCAACTGAAGATCGATTGCTTGAAGCCTCAATCCAGTATAAATCACCTCTAATCATACCTTTTTTTATAATTAATCGCCCATTAAATGTGGTAAGTTTCTACGCTAGAATCTTCAAAAATATTTACTAGATACCTATTGATTAAAAGTTTCAAGGTAACTCGATGTCAATTAAGCTGTTAAATCCACTTTCCCTCTCAAATATCTAATAATGTATTGTAACAGCGGCGTCCAACAATAAATCACAAGTAAAACTGATCACACCGACTAACCCTTGGACAAAGGAAATGTCAATGATTTCCAAGTATGGATGAACAATATGAAAAAAAACAAATCGATTGCATTGCTAAACTTTTGTGAACTATTTATGCTGAAGACCACGTCTTCGTTATATTAAACCCGATAAAAGAGAGGACCGTTTTGAAAGATCGCATATTAGATGCATGGAAAAAAATGAAATACTGCTGTAAGTCAACTATGTTGCGGATTATATCAATAGACAAATAAATGTTCCTTTAATAAGTCCAAATCTTTGGTCTGGGTAAAACTGATCAAACAATAACTTTATTGTCATTCAATCACTTACGGACTTTTGCAAACTTGATCTGCGCAAATCTTCTTTGACGAATACTGTAAGATAAATGGTGATACGTATTAAGCAAAGTGGATGAAAGTTTAAAATCCTGGAGGCTACGTTTATTTCAGTGGGCATGGCGTACAAAGGAATGAATCTTCGAATCTAAGCTTCGGTTGACAGGCTACGAAAGGTCAAATATAATTGACGTTGCTTTATGTGACGTCACCATAGATCGCTTCATTCAGGTGTAACACCTTTCCGGTGGCTAGCTGCCATTGTCATCTGAAGGAAGCAAAAGGGGTAGGATACCGCCAGGTTGCCAAAGCCCAGGCAGAGCTCTGTCAAGGAAATCGGAAGGCAGAGCTCTGGTTCGAACAACGTACTTTCCGGTCGGTAAATTCACCTTCTAAACACTTAGCCATCTCGCTTCATCGATCGATAGCTCAGAAAACTTATTCACCGGACTCGGTCACTAATCTCCACACGGTTTCCAAGACAACTGCTCCTGCAAATTGGGCAAATGTGATTGACAATCAGGCAACTATGTTACATTTTGACTCATGTAACGTTTCTGTGAGCTCCTTTCCGTTCACGACAATGTAATCAGGGTCCCACTTAGTCCTGTTCTGGTCAAGGGGATTCCACGCTCAGTCGGTGGTCGATAAGTCTCTGGATCCAAGTCGCAATTGTTAAACTTTCTGCTCTACTCACAAGTCATAAGTAAACGGTCCAAGTGTGTCAGCGTTCGGGGAAGCGACTACAGGTAAATGAAGAAAAGCAGTAAGACTAGCCGAGTTCACGGATCTTCCTGAATAGCTTGCAGTACTATAAGAATACCAGTTAACTGAAAGCTTCTATATCAAATTGGTATAAGCCCACAATATTGTCGTAAGTGCTTGAATATTCTCTGAGGTTCGGCAAAGTTCAATAAACTGATTTTGCATTAAAATAAAGCCCAAGACACTTTGTTAAACCTTGGTGAAATCTGCTGAAATTTGCCCCTAGGTGTGTAGACGGTTTGCTTGAACAGTAGGTCATCAATTTCTGAGCTTATTCAGTAGCTTGATGACATATTATATGAATCAATATCTGACCGATTCAGCATTGGACGCTACGTTAATGATCGATACTTCCGTATGACTCTCCACTCGCCATAAAACTCACACACTTGACACTTATTCTCAGCAAAGATCAAAAACGTATTTGTCAATACAGTGAGCTACACTCTGGGGATGCATGAAACGTCAGCGAAACTATCCGTCAGTACAGCTCTTTTCTTCGGCGGAGGACTTATATTTTATGCTTGAAAAGTGTGGACCTTAGATGAACAGAATTAGGGCGTTCATGAGAATTTCACAATGCTCTAACTTGTCTGAAATCTTGAGTTTACTTTACGAAATATGCTCCAATAAGCAACAACTTACGTTGCACAGCATTTTGTAATCTTGCATTATCAGGCAGGATTTAAACTCAGTAGAAACCTCAACTAGTCCGTCTGTTCTGCAGTAAACCCAAAACATTGGTCACTTAGACACTTATCCCAGAGTTGAATTTGATTTTTTTTCGGTTTTCACTTTGTGTTGCGTTGGAAACTGCCAAATGATCGTTTTTCTCCCGATCATGTATACCTCGCACTATTCCCATCCATTCCGGTTTATTCTTGGCATCCTGACGAACGAATGAAGTGAAAAATGTCCTGTTTCAGGTTGTGAAAGTTTTTTCGGCAAATGGTAAACGGCGTTCTTCCTTGCGTTCTACAACCTTATTGGCTGACAGTTATTGAGAGGGCAATGGCTACGGCGACAGCTTCCACAGCGGGACAGCAGGTTAAAATGGCTCACCCTTCGTTCCACCTGCCTGAAGATCATGTGATTTTATTCGTTCAGTCGTTCTGTAATTTACGCAGGCACAAGTCCCGGAAAACTCTACTGCAGGTTATGTGATCGCTAGACACAGAGGATGATTTTATGTAGCCGGTGGCTGAGTAAGGCAAACCCACTATTCCTAAATATTTCCAAACCTAGTCCAAGTTAATTTTCGATCCGGAATAGTGGCCTTCGGAACTGTAAAGTAAATGAATCAAAGTAACCTCTATCCAGAACACTATGTGCTCGAAAATGTTAATCCATAAAACAGCACACAGTGGCTTCATCAGTGTGTAAATCGTTACATCTGTCCAGGTTGTTACTACATCCAACATGAGGTCAGACTGATTGCGCACCACTCCTTTTACGTTACGCTCATCTGAGGAGCACCAGCGGAATACAGTCTGCAATTCTGTATGCATGTTTTCCAATCGAATCCTGCTTTGGTCCCAAAAAGAGCTGAGCTGTAAATTTTCCATAAAGTCTATGGCGTGTTTTAAGTAAAATGCATCGTTCCCCATAGCATCAACTTTGTGAAAGTAAAAACTCACTCAAAAGGAAGAATCCGAAGAATGAAAGCCCAGTAAACAACAGGTTGGTGTACAGGACTTCAAAACTACTTGCAAGGTGACTCGCGGTGAAAAGGAATAGTATTCCAAATATCTGTATTTTGGGGATGGAGCCAGAGGAAGCAATGATGTGAAGCCAATAGCTGCCGGCAGACAGCAAAATATCAAATGCTTTTTAAATTTGCCCAGGTTTTTTGTAATATTGGCGCAGACGTGAAGGTGACCGTATACATATCCGAACGATCCATAATTGATGCGGAGCTCACTACTTTAGTTAGTAGAGACCATTCTTTGTTGGTATCACAGTCATCTGGCATCCATTTTCACCATATATATCCTACAAGGCAGTTTTCGCATGGTATGGCTCCCGACATCCTGTGGTTTTCATCATGAAATGTAAAAGGAGGGTTTCGTCGTCTACGTCAGCTTGTATAGAGTAACATTCGAAGAGAGGCTGATTGTAAGATAAGTCTCTTACGTGGAAAAATCACAAGTGTCCCCCAGTTCTGTCACGATTGAGCATGACACTGAAAAAAGACCATTTAATGCTTCGTGTCTGACATCTCAAGGAGATCACCTTGCCATAGGAAACTTCCTTTAAAGTAGCTGTTCTCAATCGTCCACTGGATCGAATTTGCTATTTTGTTAAAATGTTGACTAGTGGCAAATTGGTCTGCGAAAGAACCGTTCAGAAGTGCATCGCTCCGTTGTGTGGTTCAGAACACTACAGCGCATGTTTTAACATTTGCTTCTTTGAGCAAAAATCGGGGGCATTTTTTTGAAATGGTTATCTTAGAATCTTTGCCAACAGGTGCTTAGGGGATGAAAGCTACTGCAACTCGTGTGCCAAATTCCTTCGGTTCAAGCGATGTAAAGAAAATGAGAATCTCCATGGCCAAAAATCGTTTGGCACATTGAAACCACCCGACGTGTACTTAATGATTCAGGCATTCTTGTATAATGTAAATTGCTACCGCTTACACATTAAAACCACCAGACGTGTACTTTATGATTCAGGCATTCTTGTATAATGCGATTAAATTGCTACGGCTTCCTGAGTCTCTCACACTTTTCGTTCGATTACCTTGCATAAATTCTGCACCTGGTGCACTCGACGATTTTGGTTACGCAATTCTCCTGAATACAGTACCTCTTTAATTTGCGATTCTGCCAAAACGAATTAATTTTCAGCAAACTGTGCAACCATACATTTCATTTATAGTGGTATAAGTAATAATCGTTTCGCTGTAATAAACCCTCGGTGCATAAGTAAGGTGTCACCCGAGGGACCTGTGAAGGTTAAGGTTGTGCTAAACTGCGAGGCCCTGACAGGAAATGTCAAGGTGCGGAGGTTAGTTTCGAACCGCGGATCTTCCGGCCACTAAATTTGCATCGTAAATTGAACCGTCTCCCGTACTTATAAATAAAATGTTTTAATCCTGGAAACAAACTGAGTATTACCTAGTAAATGCCATTTATTGGTGGTCAAACACTTCGACAAATGCCCCAAGAGAATCAGCAAAGCATCTGTTTACTTCACTAATCTTGGTTATCTAGTATTTTTGCCTGTCCACCGGTAAAACTAGATATGCTTCTGTAATCTCAAAGCATCCGATGCGTTTTTGTACTGTAGGGCTTTATTATCAGGACTGAGAATTGATCACCCAGATATCCGTGGCATTTGTGCATTCCTATGCATGGATTTGGTCGAGGCAATTCCACAGTGATTTCCGCGAACCAATATTTGAAGACGGCTTACGTAGACTTGCTTACTGCAGGCCTACATGTGAAATAACACATTCAATCAATTATTTGTATGTTGCACAAACTGATAGGACTAAGTTCATATTAACGGCCTAATACGATAATTCACGGGGTGGAATTAGGGGAATAGGCTAACGAAATCATGCGATGAGAAGAATCAAGCAGACGACTAGCAGTTCGGCCTGGAAATGTACCGAGTTTTCTTCAAAATCGTATACTTATTATCTGCGAAGCAACTTAATGGATTGGGTTTGCCGATGAACGATTTCCGTAAGAAGCTCAATCACCTGTGATTCACCGGCTCGGCAGCAGAGCTGGATGTCCATATACACAAGCAAAGCGGCACGAAACTTCAAAAGCGACCACTCGCCGCTACTATTTGACAAAAACTGCTTCGCAAATGATCACCACCCACAGCGAGACTACCTGCTGACTACTGGCTAAGGTGCTATGAAAACCGAGTTGTTCTAACCTTCATATTACAACGTAATGGAGCGTGCCTCTAATGAGCGCTTTCCAGAAAATCGAAGGTGTTTTAGCCCATGTAGTGGTTTTTGGTATGTTCTACTGCCAAAATCTTGTAAGCTGGCAACATTTTAGCTGATTTCTTCGCAGATATGCATTTCTAAAAGCCGTAAGGACACTTTTTACCAAAAACATTGAGTGCTTTGAAGCTCGCCTGAACAAATTTTGGCTACCAGTCTTCTATTTTCAATCCATTGCGGGAAAATCTCACTTGATTGATTTTAGGAATTTGAACGTTGATTGCTACAAATCTTTTGCACGTCAGTTAGTTATAAATTCTAGAGTTACCAATGGTTGCTACAATCTTTTGCACGTCAGTTAGTTATAAATTCTAGAGTTACCAAAACTGTGTTTCTGTTAAATCCCATGTTCATTGTTGTTTTGTCGCTGAGTATAGGTACTCGAAGGTGGAGTGATTGATCCGCTCTGTAAATATGGATGTTACACTAACTGCGTATGGACTAGCAGACTAGATGGAAGATGGAAAGGTCTGGCTAAACATTCGCTCACTCATGTAATATAAGTCCTCTTTAGTGTAAAGTGGACTAATTAAAAGAAAATAATGTCGCCAAGTGCCGGCTCTCTCCGAATACGTAGTAACGTTGGAAATTGGCAGAAGAATTTACACTCCCCTCAGCTTCCTGAAACAAAAGTAAAGTATATTTTCAATCACCCCAACTCTCAACAAAATTTTCTAATAAAATCTGGCGCAGTCGGTGCCACCAAAAGATAACATGCGTCAGATTTGATAGTGAACCCCAAATTCATCGATAACGCGACATCCTTCCGATACCGATAATCTCGTTGATCTTAGAGGGGCTTCAAATCCTGTAGCGAAACCTGACTTCCAAGTTGCTGGCAACTTCCGGGTTCACGTCAAAAATATATCCATCCCTCACTAAATGCAAAAAGAGATATCGAATCAAATCACACATAGCCCTCTAAATTTTGAAGCCTGCAACTGAAGCCATTTTAAGAAACATAAACAACAGTCACAGGTTATTGCCTCCTGCTCTGACGGAAAGCTGAACAACACTTGGAACACTAAGGCAGATTACTCACTGAATAATTTCTCATTACTAATTCTCAAAGCGACATATACTCAGCATCAGTTTCAGAAAGCAAATAATACGATCTGTCCCGAGTAACGGGAAGGGTTTGCGTATTGCATTATTCATAAGATTGATGAAAATTTATCTACAATCCACGACCAGTTTTGTCCCTTTTGGGGCTCATCAGGTAGGCGCAGTCCCCGAATTTCCGTCAACCCAATGTTCTAATTGAAAACAAAATGCACGATATTAGCGAAATGCACTCATTTGCAAACTAATTTGGTTTGGTTTGTTACTCACCTGGAACCCAGCTGAATCCCTGGTTTGTGATGTTTCCAGGCAACTGCTGCACCAAGCCGCCTCATGTTTCAGTCGCTACGAAATTCGAGATATCTCGATATATGTATATTTTTTATTGCACCCACACGTTTGACGAAAAATCCAGGACTGCACCTACCTGATGAGCCCCAAAAAGGGCAAAACTGGTCGTGGGCTATTTATAAATTTTAAGCAACCTTATGAGCAGTGCATTACAAATATACATGTATTACAATATCTCGAATTTCATAGCGACTGAAAGATCAGGCTGCCTGGTGCAGCACATTCAGTTGCCTGAGAACATCACAAACGAGAGATTCAGCTGGGTTCCAGGTGAGTCTCTCGAAAAACTAAATAAGTTTGCAAATGAGAAATGGTTTTCGTTCTCTTGTCGCTCTCTCCAGTCTGAGAGAAAAGAAATGTTAAATCATGTTAATTAATGGAGGTTTCCGAATAACCCCACATCCATGATGACTAATAACCAATCAGTATATGTATATACAAGAATTTGTCGATCTTCTATTTATCGGCCATTATATCGACATTCGATGAGTTTTACTTGAATTGCTGGCCTCATTTGGTCAACCATTGATTGATTAGATAAAGGTTTGATTAGACTAACCTGAGCTGATGCATTGATTAGGCCCGAGGTCAAACCTTCGTTCGCTGGGTAGGTTAATTCTGCGGCGTAATCAAAGCCCATCATGAGGAATCCGGTCAATGCAAATCTGCGTATAGAAATGTGATTGTCAAAATATCTGTTCCCCAACTTTACGTGGGCACGGATGCTAAGCGAAGTAGTCCCAGAAAGAAGGACATACGCCATGCGTAGGTTTAAAACACTCTTACGATATTCGAAATAGGTGAGGGAAAAAGTAATTTGGCCTTTCCAGGTACTAATCATTCTTCGGAAAAGCCTTTGTCAGAGACGGGTAGGTTTGAAACACTCTTATGATATTCGAAATAGTTGAGGGAAAAGTAATTTGGCCTTTCCAGGTACTAACCATTCTTCGGAAAAGCCTTTGTCAGAGACTCATCTAAACCAAAAGGTTAGCACTTTTGGTTGAAGAAAGTATTATCTAATGAAATCAGTCTCGCTCGAAGAGAAACATATTAACGTCTGCTCCAGAATTAAACTTCAAAAAGGGGCTAGATAAAAATGAGAGTCATTTTTCTTTTGAACACATTGAGTTTATGAGGCACAAATAATTACTTACAATCACAGGGTCATAGAAACTAAACGGAACCGGAGGTTCCTGTGCGTCTCGAGTGAACCGAATATTATTAGTTACTAATCGGAATTATTCTGGGAACCCAACCATTTCAGTTGGGTTGTTTTGTTAAATCAACCTTCCTGCTACCTTTTAAAATCAAGAGCAAACAAAAAACGGAAAGAAGACGATTTTTCACTGTCCCTTATCGAGTTCATATTTGGTTAGCTATCCTCCGATTTGTAAACATCTACCTGGCCACGTATTACTTCATGAGATATTCTGATGCAAAAACAAATAGGTAAGCTGATTTTAAATCGGTTAGAATGGGAAGGAAAATAATTACATGAAGACTTTTCATTTCGACAAGTGCTTCAAAGAGAATATTAAACTATGCAAGTGATGAATCACCTGGAGAAATCAGTTCACACCTCTGACTATAAACTTCGTGTTCGTCAACGATTCAAAAATGAAGCCGATTCATACGCTTACACAGCCGAGTTTGATATCGACAACACTGGTTCATCGCTTTTTTCGAGGAAGAGACCTGATGGGGACTCTCTCAGGTATATAAAAACAAATGGATGTCGCCATTTGTTCAGTCGCTACTTTGGTTGAGGCAACCCAACATATTTGGGTTTGAACTACCTACAACCTAATTCTGTCGACACTTTCCAACCATGGCCATTTCCTCGATACAAACCTGCATATCTGATGAGCCTGATCAATTCAGTCAAAATGTAATGTCAAGAAAAATAATCAGGATAGAGCTCTATTGCATAGCCAATAAAAGTTGTATATAGTCGTTGAAAAAGTAACCTTTGTTTAATCATAATACACTACTCATAAATTTGCTGAAACCCATTGGCAGCCCACGACCAGTTTGGTCCATTTTGGAGCTAATCAGGTAGGCACAATTACCGAGTTTACGTCAACCTCATGTTCTACTTAAAAGCAAATTGCACGAAGTTAGCGAACTACACACGTTTGCAAACAAACTGGGTTTTGCGAGAGACTCACCTGGAATCCAGCTGAATCTCTCTTTTATGAATTTTCTGGTGCAGCACATTTAGTTTTTCAGACACATCATAAACGAGGGATTCAGCTAGGTTCCAGTTGAGTCTCCCACAAAGCCAAATTAGTTTGCAAATAGATGTATTTCAGTAACCTATGTTTTGGTGAACACGTTCCGGTCAACGTGAAACCGTGCAGCGACGTCACATCAACTTTGAATAGGTCCGATGCCACTGGTCGTTGTCCCAACCCCAAAAAAAACGTAACCTAAGTTAACCTCCTTAGTGATCGTTGGTTGTGATGAACATGCAGTTGCGGTCTTTACATAATACGTTTCAAGAAGGTAGACTGCATTCCCTATGAAAACTGACCATGTGATCGTTGTGGGTAAGCTCTAAGGTAAAAACTTCACGTTCTGAAGTGCCTGCCCATGTAAAAAGCTAAAGCAACAAATGGGCACTCCGTCTTAGAAACTTACATCTGACTATCAGCGTTCCATCGAAAAGGGCTGGAGCGTTCAGGTAGAAGTACGAAACTGGAACGTCGTATTTCCAACTTAAAATTTAGGTGGAAGTAACCATAACCTGACCCTAAATTACAGTTGGATTTCACCGTCTGAGATGCTGTATCACAAGTTGATGATTATCTGCAAGAGTAATGCATTTTCTAAAATGTCCTTTTGGAAATGTTCTGTTCAAACAGGAACACAGAGCGACCAACATTAATGTTTTTGGAATCATGTCCTGAGATCAGTATGTCTTCAACTAATAAAATAAAAAAATTGAGATTAGTTATTAAAAAGGGCAAAAACACACACAAGTATTCGTCGGTGCTGCTCAGCCCGTGTTTCATTGCTTTATCTCAAGGGCCGTTGACTGAGTGGGTCAATCAGTTCGTGTCACACCACCAAGCCACACTTAGAGGCATAGTACCTGATTCCGAAATATTACGGCTGCTTCGCCTGGAGTCAAGCCAAGCCGTTAGATCGGTACTGACAGTCTATAGCAACTCGTTCGCATTGATCACTTGACCGTTGTCAAGACTATGGAACGTAGTCGAGCTTTTAACGGAGCTTTTGAATCTAGCGGCATTCCGGCGATAAACAACACAGATGTTCTCTTGACAATTTCTCTTGTCATGCGTCCAGTGTATTCAGCTGAGTTGCAGCCACATCTACAGAGCACACTCAGGTACATTGGCATCTTCAGGATGTCGTTGTACACAGTGGAGCGGTACATTGCAAAATACGCGGTAACAGATTCAACTTCAGTCTTGAAATCAATAGTTAGCTAGTGGTTAGACCCTCCAGACGTAGGAGGATAATAAATGCCGAATTTTTAGCCTCATGTCACCTAATGCGGAATCCCAATCGCGCCGTCGATATGTAGGCACGACCAAAGTGTGTTAGCTAATCCTTTTGTCCATGCAGAGCAGCGCAGTGGTTCTCTAAGCATTCTTCCTTCCTTGTGGACAGGGTAACCTCTGCCGAACACAGAGTTAACTGTCGGAACGAATCGGCACACATTACCTGGCCTCATTGTGAACCAAAACTCAAAACGCCACATAAAGTTCCATCTTTGCCTACCACATTATAACCGTGAACCCGTTTGCTGTCAAAACAGCACCAATCTTTTGCAATTAAAATAGTCCACTCGGCCCGTATTCTCTCCTTTTTATCCGCTCTGTTTTACTGTTTTATAGGCTATCGAAAACTATTTGTTTGCTCATTGCTTTGAGATCTCTTTCAGGACTTGTACAATTAAGCCCAACTGACTGGACATGTCAGCTCATCAAAGTGACATGCTAGATTATGAAAAATAATTGCTTAGAGATATACTTTGGAAAGCTATCTATCCTCAAAAGATGGACAAGAGATGGATATCAATCTACAGCCTATGCATCGAAGATCAAAGAGTTTACACACATCCGTCCCGATAAAAAAAGGCCTCCCAGTAGCCATGGTTCAAATAGCGGGATCCTATTAAATCTTAGACAGCCTCGGCTTGAGCTTGGTCTACCTAAGTGGACGTAGAATGGTTCGTTAGTCAAATTGAGTAACAAGCTGTTTCATAAGCTTACTGTTCAAACCGAAAGCCAAGCGATCTGTTTTAATCCTCGAAGAACTGACCTCAGAATAGGTTATTCTGACTGGGTTGAATAGGACTTTTTTATCGAAAATACCATAAAATGTGCAAATATCTTTGCAGCGCGCCAGCTGTGACCTTATAAGCCAGTATAAATATTATTCCACCGTTCTGGAGTGAATGATTGCACTATTTTGTGTCCAAGGGATAACACTGTACTCGAATTCCGGTCGCAAATGTCGTGTATGTACTTGAGCTAACCAGAGATTAAACTCCGGAAATTCAGATGCCTCGCCATCAAATAGGAAGCTCTACCAGACTGAAACATGATCATATTACAAACTATGAATTAACCACCAAAAATGCCCTGGACGGGAAGCGGACTGTTCAAATACTAATGACACCAAATGAAACAATCTCAAAACTACTCAGAACTACTATGGAGTGTTTGAAATTTCTTCGGGCAGTAGGTCATAATAAATATACCCAGTATGCCGTGAAAACCCGTGGTATGAGCAACGGAAAATTTTCAACGGTACAAACAATATCCGGAAGAACGCATTGTGTCGCAAAAACGCACCCGAGAAATCCTGCTGCAAAGAACATCCAGATCAACGACCTGAGTAACACCAGTCCTGTAAAAGCACCCATCCAGATTAGAGCGACCCCACAGACCAACAGTGATATAAGTCTGAAAACATGATAGAAGAACAGGGCGAGAAAAATTAGGAGCATATCGACCATCTTGTGGGACATGAGGGAAATCAGATTACCTTTCCAGTAATTTCCATCTTTGTTTTAGGTGACGAGCATACAACGCAGGGTTTCCGGATGGCATCATTTGTGGCTATCGCGAGCTAAGAATGTTTAGAGGAAGAACGGTAAAGTTCCGTGAGAGTGCCAGTTAATTTAAGCGTGGTTGTAGACAGTTTGGCTGTATCCACGCTCCCTTTAGTAATCAGCTTGTTATCCGTTCAAACCGATATACATTATTCGTTCATTTATTATTTTTATGTAGACCGAGATAGTACCAGGGCGTTATGACCTAGACAGAAGGAGGATTGCGTTCTCACTCCAGCATCTGGTTCTAATACCAAACTGCAAGCTATTGATGGTCAGTTTACAACTACCGCAACAACTACACGTGTTCTCAGCCCACACCTGCAAAGACCTACACTGATATTTAAGCCATTGTGTAGAGTTATCCGACAGAAAAGGCTCTCTGTATGTCACATCAACATCTGCAGGAATAGCTCAGTGCGCTTTTGAGGTGAACAGACTTCCACAACATGATAAGGTTTAGGTTCTTATCTCTATAAAAATGTTTATAATCCCGCAATGTTGGTTCTGCCTTGTTCAAAGGAACGTACAATCCATATTCCATCTTTTGACACTACATTCATCGGTTGTTTACCTGGCCGCCACAAACCCACTCTTATTCCCGAACAGATTTCCGTAAACTCCCCCACGATAGGGGAAATTGACAGACAAATCATAGAGAAAAGCTGAAAAAGGCATACGAGCAATTTGTCCACGAACACTCGCATTCTACAACCAGTTTCTCCCAGAAGCTAAATGGAGACGAGGGGATATTCCGGTTATTTCACCCTGATTAAACAGTGCTGCTAAAAACTCTGTTAGCGGTTTTTTAGTTAAAAAAAACTCTAAAAACCACCTCTATAATAAAGTCCCTAACAATTGACGGTACTGGGTGGAGGCAATTTACCGCTGTTACTGAGCCAAAACTTCCGGGTTCATTACCAACTTCGGGGACATACTTAGTGCTACTTATTCTCACTCTTCATTCTTTTGTGTAGACTGAATACTTTCCGTTTGTCTGTTTGTTTGTCGGTAATGCTTTGATTGCGTACTCATGCATTAACTCTGGGGCGATCCTTTAGCTCATCAGGCGGCAATTTTTAATGATGTTTGTGTTTTGATTGTCGAGTCTTACATAAGTATAATTAAAAGATAAGTTAAACAAAGTAAAGCCTGGTTAAGTCTGTCTATCCGTGTGAGAACTGAGGAGAATAAACTTCGTTTCCAACGGTGAGAGGTGAGCGCTTCCGTCAAGGTTGTCAGTGTTTGGATGGTTCAAGCTTTTGGCAGCATGAAGAGATTCTAGAATTTTCAAATGAGGTTTTGTCCGTCGAGAAATACACTCATTTGCAAACCAATTTGGTTTCCACGGGAGACTCAGCTGAATCTCTCGTTTTGTCCTTCTGAAAAGCTGTGAATCATTTCAAAGCACTTTTACCCGTATTAGGAATCAGCAGCACTACGCGTCTCAAGAAACCCCAGGGAGTTTTGAACTCACAAACTACCGGTCAGTTAGTCATGACTTGACCGTTCGGCAGCAAGCAGGGAACAGCAATCTGATCAACTCTCACTCAGACAGAAGAGAGCGTCACTCATCCTTGAAACACAGGAGTGAAAACTTATTCACTAACCCTTTTTATGGAAGTTTCACCCACCCTGTGAAATTAATCCTTATTTGAGCTACTCATCAGTACATGTTCGAGCACCTTAGGACCAACAATCGGGTCGTTGAGAACCAGGTTTTTTTTCTTGTAGACTCTTTGCTCCCTTCAGTGATGTCATATCGGACATGCTTAGTTCATGAGTGATTCTCATGAAATTAATGATACTGGGATACTTTGGAGCGTGGAAGACCTCGATCAGTTGACCGTATTGCAAAAAGCAGAAAAAACAACAGTTCGCTGGATGAATAGACTCGCCGTATGAAATGTTTTCAGTCGAGAAGCCAGGTGACGCGTGATCACTTGATGTGAATTCTGAGACTAAAGGATAAGCGGCACTATACCCTGTCTCGATGAAGGATGATCTCTGCTGACCAGCCGCCTGCGCCTGGAACGTTTGGTTTTCATCTTCTTGCCACGACATTTGGGTTAAAATTCCTCTGGACTGTTGATCATTTTCAATAAAGATGAAACAGCCATATGAAATTTCTCGACTTTTTGTCGTAGACTCCAAACAGGGAAAAATCTCTCTCATAGTACAAAAATTCTAAATCACATTCATTATTCGGTACGCTGAACGGCGATTACGCCACGAGGAAGATCATTTCCTAATAGCTAACTGCCCTCATGAGAGTACGGCATTTAAGACTGACTTAGCTGAGTTTATACAATTAGTTGAATCCATACCACTTTGTGCCTGAATTACAAGTAGCACACATGACTAGGTTTTTCAAAATTCTGCAGTGTTCTACCCGTGTTTTTGACCAAGGAAAATGCTCGAAATGTTTTCACCTCATGCTTTATTAGTTTCTCCTGTGTTCTTTATATTCCTAGTCAGCTGTTCACTGAATCACGTTAGTCAGACCACAACTACAGAAATATTTTCGTTTTTGGGCCAACATAATTTAAGCAACGTACAAGTTACCCTTGGATATTCCAACGTGGATTATCTAGCCGGACACCGATAGCCTGAACAACAAGTAATAGTCCGATCCCTACCGGCTGTTCGCAGTTTCTGGGAGCTTCTGTCTTAACTGAGATAAACCTCAATGTGGAGTCTTTTTGAAGCATTTAGTTTGACAAATACATTGAGCAGCAAAAAATCTCTTTTCCATTCATTTTCTCTGAGTGCTTAATTCACGGAAGCGTCTCAAGAGAATAGTAGTTTTGAACAAACCAGCGGAAATTAACATTTAAATGGTGAAGCATTTAGCTCGTGTTCTGTCTCTTGCACATGTCGCACAACCGTCATAAAAGCAGGCGTTTCATCAACAACCACAGTGTCATCGTCAGCACATTGTGACTGGACTTGCCTTAAGTTTGAAATTGCTAGTTCAATCCCCAGCGCACGTTCCCTCATCATCCTGATGGTTTAACCTTTGCACCCAAACCGACCAGCTCAGCAAACAAACCAATGGCCATCAGTACAACCTAAGCCACAAATATTCTCTGTATTTAGTTGTGACAAAACTAGCTCAAAGGAAAGGTTTTGTTTTCACTCACCGGTATCTTCTTGTTCGATCTAAGGCGATACCGATCAGCATCGATCCAAGCATACCAGAGATGATCATGGTGAAACCGATCCACCCTATTGCCGCGTTACCCTGGTAAAGGTCAAATGGAATGAGACAGAAAAAATGTTTATTCTCAAGCGTAAATCTTCACCTCCTTATGGAGATGCCGCTTGATTTCTTACAGATGGTGCCTGTGTTGTTATTCCACAATCCTAAGCAACCTGCACCAGTTTTTCAGCCCAAGCTACTACAGTTCGGCTTTTCGAGGATAACAACCATTGACAGTAGAAAGGTAATGATCTAATGAGCATGTTGGTGGAGATTTGTCAAACTCCGCTAATGATGGTATGAAAGTGGATTTACGATCAGTCTCTGTCTGACAACGCACTACTTATTCCTATGTCTGGCCGCAGGTTTCCGATACGGGAAGATGAGCGTTGGCTACCGGACTGAACTCAAATTTCAGGCTATTCGTAATTCACTTCCAAGCAATACACTGAAAAATTCTGCATGCCCGGACTGTACATTATAAACTGTCCACCAACATACAAAGCCAGTTCTTTATCCACCGTACCTAAGAGGCATGCCTTTTCCATCTATATTAAGTGAGTCTGCCAAAGGACTTCATCAGATCCACAGCACCCATTTTATAAAACACGGCCAATCAATGTTCACGACTAAAAAGCCGTCAATTTTCACTTTTGTTTTCATACTTATCGTTTTGATCACTCGGTCACTGTTTGCCTTGATTAGTACTAATCAGCCCATCGCTCAGGTTTAACAGCCGTTTGACATCTATCTGCCAGGCCTTCTGAAGGAAGCATGGAGTTTGAGATACCATCAGGAGCAATCGAGTTACCGGAGTTGGATCAAATCACGGATTATCCGTATTTCGCTCAGTAACTGTGGTGCTCACTTGATCACACTAAAAGCTCGAGAGACACAAACACTTGTCGCGGTCGGTCTATTTAACTCACAAACCTCCTTGTACATGTCGACTGGAAGATGTCGACTCGGAAATGTAGTTTCCCACAAAACCTTGCAAAGTCCAAAACTACGGTGAACAACATATGCCAGTTTTAGAAAAATGCAGCGCCGCCTACCAAAATTGCGCCTTGTTGAACACATTGGACATGCACGTCTTCCGCCTCAGAATCCTTCGCCATCCTAAACACTTATGGAGTTAGCTGTTTGCTGCATCATCTGATCAAGCTCTATCAGTTGACAAAGGCCGCAAAACGATACTGAGTGGAAGCTTTGGTAATTAACATCTGCTTTGTTTTTGTCTGTCGAGTCGACTGTAAGCCAATATCCTCCGTGAGACAGCGCTAACTAAGCAGCTGACCAGCCAGTGGCACGAATGGCTAACCCCACATCTATGACTCACACAAAGCGGCTATCACACTCTAACGCCTTAGAAGTTGATCACACACGGGAAGGTACTAGACAACTGCCGTTTTCGACTCACACCACTATGCTTCTGATATAGATCACCTACGGTGACCGAAACGTCGAGAAAATACTCTTAGCCGCTTTCTTATCCCACAAAACAAACCCTAAAATGTGACTCACTGCTTTGCCGCAAACCCATATGGAGGATTGTAGATTTATATTCCGGCGAGACTGAACTTAACTTAAAAAATATGTTTATCGTCAACTGTAGTAAGCCATGTGAGCACTCGACAGCTACGGGACATATTCACCTGATCAACAGCGTCCACATGCCATTCATAATCTGCAGGCATTTACCTAGTAGCTTACCGATTGTCAGTGGTAATGTGGTGTACAACCGTGCATTAGTAAAAGATGCAACAGAGTTCCTCTCCAACACGTTTCGCCTTCAACTCAAAGTAGACTCACTTCTCCCTATAATACGCGAAAGGCAGTAGCTGAATCCAGGTGTCATCTACAGCTCTGGTGTAACGAACCCAAAAGCGTGTTTACGGCTCTAAATAGTTTGATATTTCCTACCAGAAGTTTTGGTTCTTTACGCTGCAGCAAAGCAAACTCGAAGATTGAAGACATAGGTAATGTGTACAAATCACTGTCAACTGTTCGTGCTTTCGAAAACAAGATAATATCATTTAGAGCGACTAAACATTCATGACAAGCTTTTAGTCGGATATTCGCAAAACCATACTTAAAAAGCGTTACTTGTAAGCATCGTAGACAGCCTAATCGATTGTAGAGCTTTTTATTTCTGACTCAACCAAGAGGCATTGTTAGTGGGAAAATTTTTGATTGTCACTATTAGGAACTCACAAAACTGTTCAACCGTTTTGTCGTTGATTTTGATTTAGATGTGTAAGGTTCAGAAAACACCCTATTCTTTTTATGGCACCAAAAATACACTCACAGCAAGAAGCTACAGATTCCATTTTATTCCCAAGTGTTCAAAAATATTTTAAAGCTATTTTATCCGTGTCATTGCCAGGGAAAACTTTTACTTAATAGAGCAAGGCGTGCTTATCGGCAAATCTCTCCAAATTTCCCTAGTAAACAGAATGTTCTGTAGGCCGACATGTTTGTGCAAGTCCAAACTCCCATGAAGTGGATTAACTGACGCTGAGTTTATGCCCCTGAGTTTTTCTGAATTTTAAGTGACTTGGCTGATCTCAATTTAAAAATAACCATCTTATTCAAGATTACAAAGTAATTTCCGCACTTTTGTTATCCATGCTACAAGTCTTTTTGCTATGTAACCAATGAACACGAAAAATCTGTGCGCTACATGGCTTACCGGGAAGTAGACTTGCAATATCACATTGAGCAGTGTTCCCAGTGCGTAAAATAAGCCCGTGGTGATCCCTGGATAAAAAGAATGTTATTGGATTAAAGAGGACCTCGGTAAACTGCCCACCTACCCAAATCTCAAAGCAAACCTCAAGTTCAATTAGATATAATGGGAACAGAACTCTGAAAAACTTTATTGGACAGGTATACAGTGAGAAAAAGCCTGGTGGGTTGAAGCAATTATTCATGCGGTTTATTCCAACAGTGCAGAATTGTCATTCGTGTAAGGTCCGTCAGTAGAAACATTGCTAATTGGATCACTATCAATTCGTCAGTAGCAAAACCATCGACAGAATCGGCAGCAAAGAGGAAGGCAAACTGCATTCGTCTGAGCTATGCCAAGAACTGTGCACTTTCAATTACTTAAGCATTGCTACTGTATGACTGATTTGTGGTATGTTTTGAGATGTATATGATATCAATGGCCATCCGCTGCCAATTTTGACTTCAGAGAAACCGTAAGTTGGTTTTCCCCCTCGTGGTATTTGGTGGCTTTGAAACATGCTGACTACCTGCACGTAGACCAAATATTGCAGTGATGCTTTCACACACAGTTCGTAATGAGCAAGGCCTGTTTTTGATGGTTTGCTTATCGGTTACCTAGGAAAAAGCATAAAAACCCTTAGGAAGGGCTTAATTATGATATTTCTGTATCAGATGGTATTGAGTTGACAGCAGTATGGGATTATTTGAACTGATGTTGAAACTTTCATTGAGAGGAAATAGTTTCCGCCAATTTTCGACGACAAAGAAAACCGCCCAAACTCAGGTGATATCGGAGAATTATCCATCCAACGTAGACCAGTTGACCAGTTCTTTAACTTTTGCAGGACTGGGTTTTTATGCTCTCTTTAACGTAGAGTAAAACGGATTCACAGTGTGATGACCCAAAGGTGTAAACTGATTTGAATCTGAAAGCTCTCAAGCTATACCTCAGAATTAAATTCCTGATGACTTCGGTGAACAAAATTTTGTATGAAATAAGCGAACTTGAATAATTCTCAACACAGTTAACTAACAAGTCCCTGGAAAAATCCCGATGCCTTCATGCGCTATGCTATACACCTTTTGCTGACAGGATTTTGGTATTTTTCTCTTACCAGCATGGCTTTGATGCCATGTTGATTAGGCTGGATTTTTTGCGCAAATCGGAACCGTTGAAGAAGTGTCCACAAATTGTAGAAATCTGGGTGCCCAGTTTTCCAAGGACTGCCTTTTATACGTCCGAGAACTGAGATATTTAAAGCCATGAAAGACTTTGTGTTTATGAATTCAAGTTCTTGAAAAGTTCTCTCGTGTACTTTTTATGTATTTAGCGTTAACGGCTGCCATCGGCTTGAATCGCACTCACAGGTAAAAAGGCTTTAGATGCTTATGAGTTGGGATAGCACCATAGAAAGCAGTTTCACGTACAACATTCAGTAAATGCAATTGTTTTGAATGAAGTCTTTCAAGAACTATCACCCTCGAGCCGGAATGATTGCAAATGCGAGAAGCACCTTGGATGTTCGACTTTGGGATTTATAAATATGTGATGAAAAAATACTTACCATAACTTAGCAGCAGTACTGTAAAATTTCCGTTCTTCAGAACGCCAAGCAGTTGTCCCTTGAAGCCTTTTCCGGTGAACATATTTATCAAGGAAGTTTGTGGGACGGTGACATGCGGTGGATTAAAACTGTCTGTATCTGCATCTTGCGTGACTTCATTATTTGCTCCCTTTTCCGAGGGATTCCCCATCTCTTCTGCATACTTGCTGCCTTCTACCGGCAAATGTTGCGGAAAATTTAAAGTTTCCGCACTGGACACCGTTACGTCTGTCATGGTGGCATATATGGATTTACGGTGGTACTGAGTCAACGTAGGTTCTGTTGGTGGCTCCTTTTTGAAAACTATTACAGTGAACAGAAACGAAACAGCAGTAAAGATGTACAAAAAGCGTCAGATGCACGCGATCCATTTTGTTGGTCTAAATATTAGTAAGATACAAAGATGCATAAAGGTGTCAAATACACGCGATTTTTACAGACACCGAATGCTGGAAATCCATTTTAACTATCTGAATATTAGGAAGATACCACCATTCGTTTTCTCTTTGTAGGTTTGAGTAGTGTTTACAAGCCGTTTCGTTGCGGCTTCCTTAGGGTGTGTGTGNGCCTTAGCGTGTGTGTGTGTGAGGGATGTGCACTTCTATAAGGCTACTTTTTTTCGTTGGAAAGGAAAACTGTTCAAAAATGACATCAGCGATAGAAAATAAGTTGTAACAAACAGCTGTACATTTGGGAAATTTTAGTGGCATAATTTAAGCTTATCGTCAGATGGGGCCGTCGGTTGATGAAGTGAGGTAACAGTGACTCCAGCATTTGGATTCCTTACGCATAACACCAAAGAAAGGTGAGTTATCTCACTTCCTGTATTAAGAGAATTTCAGGCATGAAGCCTAACAAATGGTTACTTATCTGTTCTCAAAGATAACTTTATGCTGGTTGGATAGATGCAAGCTATACGCCTCAAAATTTTGCCTATAGCAAGTAGTATTGAAAATGTATAAAAATGAATTCTTACAATTACCATTAAGCTTGATGTGCCGTAAGTGCGAACATCAAAGCCCATTCTAAAAATTTCAAAATACAGATAAATGTAAACTTGCGAACGAACAACATAGGACTGGGATCGCGGGTAAAGTGTTGATTGCAGCGCCGATGTAGAGAAGATACATCATGTTTTTATGGAATGATTGGTAGCTGAAGTCGTTGGGTGCGTCGGACAATGAAGAAGTTGGAGTTGCCGGCGAGATGCTGTGGTTTGACGTTATCGTCGGTTCATGTTGTGATGGCGGGGAGGCGATAATCATCGGAGGAATACAAAATCCCAAAGCGGTGCCAAGCTGCAATCAAGTGAATGCATTACGTGTATTGATGTAAACCACGCTTTCTATTAGGTCTGAAAAAAGTTCTTGGTGAATTAGTTGCATAGTTAACGCCAGAATTGTGTTTCATTTGTCATTACGCTGAAATCTCTTGAATACGCTGGTAGCACTAAACAAGCAATAAAAAACTTTGAAAGAGTAACCATGTATACGTAGTTTAGGGGAACACAACTTAAGCAGGGTTGTAAACCAAATTTATGGGAACTGCCTTGTACTCCAACATCAAAGTGTGTCTGGAGCATCGTTGTGAGTAAGACGGATGGATGAATTTAGTGAGGAATCCTACTTGACGACAACAGACGCCAGCGACCAGGACTGTTACGAATAGAACACGATGCTTGGAACGCCAACTGCGATGGTGTATATCAGGCCTTCTTACTGAAGGGCCTAACTCAAATAGGTCTATCATAATAAGCCTTCAGTAGGCGAAAAAGTTCAAAGAAAAACGCTTGCCCTCTTCTTAGATGGTAGTATGTTGTGACTTACTACGCGCGGTATTTTGACACATATTTGAACGGACATGAATAAAATTTACAGGATGAAAGTTTCCAAACTACTTTCACTTCGTGGCTCGGGCAATTCAGTTACATAGCCATTTACACATTCAATTAGACGTGAACATTCCCATCCAGACCCCATTTCTTTCTTTCACGCAGTTGATCTTCAACGAAAAAATCCAGAAAGTATTAGGAATTTAGATGACCTGAAGTTTATAACCTGAACTAAGTATTTTACTGCAGTCATCTTCTCATTCCGTCAGTCTTATCTCTTGATTCCGTGCCGTCCTTTTAATTTAAATAAAACTAATTAAATAAATTAATAATAATCAAATTAAATTAGTAATCTAAATAATTAATCAATTAAATTAATACCCATCACTGTCGCTGGCTTTCCGTTTTTTGATTGACACTATGTATGCACTTGTGCATCAAGAAGCACAGTTTGACAAGATTCCAGACCTAAATGGCAGGCGGATAACACATCTACGTAGAACATCGACTCTGTCCAGATATGCGGGAGTAGTGACGCACACGAGAACGCTGAACTGTTCAAAACTATTCAGTGCTTTTCAGCCGAGAAGAAACCAGCTAAAACGAAATTACAAGGTAACACTTATGCGCATCGAAAAAATGCCCCAAGTCGCTTTTATCCAGCTTATAGTTAGTTCATAGTAGACTTTCACATCAAGGACAGAGATGCTTCTATAAGGAAATCCCTTCATACTGCACGACCTTTCTTTAAGCTGTGTTGATTTTTCCTTTCGAATGAAGTCGCTTTATGGCTGTGCCTACAAACCTTGTTATGGCGGCCAGGGACTGCATATGTAGATTTAGATGGTGCATCTACTTGAGGGGCTGTTTATTCCAATCTTTTTATTCCTTCTTCAGTTCACCGTGGTGTACTGAGACACATCTGTCTTCAGAATACCTGATCCAACCTAGCCATCTGGTTACACATCAGGATTAATTCTTTTAACAAGAACATGGCATACGGGTTCGAAGATAGACAACACTATCATTATGTCATATCCACAGGCCTCAAACTGTAAGTCACATGATCACAAATACAAAAGTTCAGTCCGGTATGTATATCCAAACAACTATATCAATAAGATCACACTGAGTTCCGTTTGGACGCCCAAAGAACTCCTAAGACGCCTTCGACTATCTGTCTCGAGGACCTCTGGAACAGAGGAATCATATTACTCTTCAAACAGGGAAATTTAGTGGATTCGGTCAGTTGTAAGAAATACGGATTCTTAAACATAAGTCTAACACCTTTTTGTTTTGATTTCAAAGGTCAGCGTTACGGTAGCCGGAGGAAATAGCTCAAAGACTGGTCACGCCAACGATTCTACATGTGATACCCAAAAACGTCAGGCAGAAGCAACCTCATCCATTTTTATTGGGCCAGGAAAAACTTGAATACTCCGCTTGTTGCCTGTTATGTGCGGTCTGTTGTTGGCAGCAAGCGCATGTAGTTCAAAACATCGTGCCAATCATCATGCCGTCTGTCGGTCGAAAAGCCAGTTATCACGTGACCGCTTGGTGCGAATTCTGTGATTGACTGAGTGGTGCTGCATCCTGTGTAAGTGCAGACGAATCACACCGTGAACCAGCTACTTGCAGCTTTCAAACTATCCGCCCGGTGGTCACGAGTTTGCACCTCTCTTGAGTTTCGTGAGATACGCACTGCTGAATGAGAATATAACAGCTAAAGGGTTCTTAGCTGCTTTTCAGCATAGATCCATTGGATCCACGATTAGAAATCACAGCGACCACACTATCAGCACTCAACAAATGCCCTATGGATCTGATTTCTGTGCGAGTCCTGCGTAGCCTTCAAAAGTGTTTTTCTAATTGCTGACGGTTATGTCTTGCAGAACGATAAACGCGAGGTTGCACTTGACTAGATGGTGAACGGCTTATACTCTTGTTGACTAAAATCGACGCCTTGGTTTCGAAGGTTCCTTGGAGGAAGTCACACTTGCAGTGGATTTTAAATGGTTTCCCTGGAACGGATAACGTCCAAGTACCACCTCGTAATTGCGCATTGATCTAATAGCAGATTTCTCTTTGTATTCTGCCAATCGAAGGTCCAAGATCGAATTATCTAGTTTAGAGACAGGCTTCAAAAGCGGTGCAGAATACGTGAGTAGGTACAACGCATCGTAAAAGAATTTATCTGCGAAAGTAGCCATTCTATGGGGTGGTTTCGTTAGCATGCTACCGACACCGACTGCAGCATTCATCCAACGCTCCATCACCGGAAACAAAACTTTGACCGAGCAAGGCAGCGACGCTAATATTTGCGAACTACTTGACAAATGTTGTGGTTGCTTCCCTCAAGGTGGCATGCATTTACCCTGCATGGATTGTGGCTGGTCGCATTGGTCCCCCGTCATTTGAATGTTTCAGATATATGTTTCTGATTTGCAGGCTAAATGGGGGCATGTTTCTGGATATAGCTGAGAGATTCCCCCGGCCCCCGATTTCATCAAGATTTTTCGTACGGAAGAGAGGAAGCATATCCTTAATTACTATTCCGAATTTAGGATACTGATTAGCGCTCCGTATCAGTTACTTGACAAACACGAAACCCCGTACACCAAAAGAAAACCGGACTAATCTGTATATATTCACTCAGTGTGGACCTCCTAAAGACGTAACTTCCACAATTTTAAAGCCCTCCAAAGGAATTAATTGACAGCCCAATTTACTTTTGCGTTCATCTCGCTTAAAGCCCCAAATAATAAGAAAAAAGTATCCCTCCATTAAGTATAGGCTGCCAACTGTCGTACATTTATCTACACACTTTCAGATTGGTAGTGCTACTGCACCATTTGATTCTTAGTGTTTGCCATATATGGAATGATTTAGCAGTAAAGACATCGGTTCCACACCTAAGCTTTCCCTCATGCAAAGAAACCCCCATAAAAAACTTCCCAAAACGAGCAGGAGACTGTTATCTTACGAATCCGTTGAATGAAAGGTTCAGATCTTGTGACATTACATCACATATCTAGTGAACAGGGCGAGTTAATTGAGCGACAAAGGGTTGCCTTAAACATCAGTACGAATATCAAGCTCAGTGGTTGAGGGGGGAGACGTAGATATTTTGACAAATATATTAGTTTGTTTTGTGGATTGTCCGCGCACTCACTTCGGCGACTAGCCTTAGGGATTGACTAAATATAAAATGTGTAATTTTTGGAAGTGGATTTTAAAAATCCCACTGAGTTAGAATGCGCTTGTCTTGAGTTGTTATATGAAGATAACGTTATTCCCCGATTGAGAACACTGTGTCATGCCTTTTCCAAACAAACCAAATGTGAATATTTTTCGACTCTTATAGGTACCATCGAATTTGGCGCCTCATGTGAGAAAAAAAATATGTTGAATTATTTTGTGTACGGTTTCGCGTTCACTTTTTGCCCCCTGTCACAACATTGTGAATGGATAACCAGGTACTGTTCACACAGACTTTGCATTTTGGACTTGGATCAGAGCGAAGTCCGCCCGAATTAGATTTGTCTCTAAAATGCGATATTCTGTGGATGCTAGCAAGCCTATCACCACAATCCCTCAGCAAAGTGAGCCACTTTGAATTTAGCCATACATTCTTCCCGCATCGAGCTAAACTTCGAAATTGACCAAGTTAGAAAGAATGGTTGGCTACAATGATTCCATTGACCAGCTATCATTTCAGGCTTCGTAAGTAGGCAGATGTCCATCTGGTGGTTTGGTTTTCACTACTTAAATTGTTTAATATTACTCAGCCATGTGATTCTAACAACACTGAAAACCTATGTGTACCTGATTATTTTAAGATGATTCCTTTTTAATATTATTATTTCTTTGTGGAGCAAACACAAAGTTTCAGAACATTTATCTAATGGGCCCTTTTTTTGTGGACAGAAATATGGCGTGAACTAAGAATAGCGCCAATTTAATTTTGATTATATTTTGCCAACCGGCGAAAAAGTTTCAAAATGAATGTGGTACAAATTGTTTACTGTCCACCGTGCACAATTGATATGTTATTAGACGAGGTTGTGCTGTAAATCTCATACAAAGTGTATATTTGTTTCATCCTTAATGGAACTCACCAAAGGTTGGCATCTCAAGATGCTACAGGGAATTTCCACCCCGGTCTAGTAGCTGGAAACTGCAAAGTTTCGCCACGAGGTGCTGATCAACAGTATGATCAACTTGAGCAAGAGAGGTTACAGTGCTGTCAAACAATGAATTCACATCACGTGGTCACGTGATGGCTGGCTGACTTGCTACATGGAAGCTTCTCCCGTTATGTGAATTGCAAGTGTACCTGCGATACCAGTCATTTACCCTAGTTATTTTGTGAATAAAACTGTGGACACCTCAAGTGAACGGTACTGGCACACTTGTCTAGGTTGTTCATCCTAATGCAGATGGGTCATGCCTATCACTGAGTTGTCACTCAATTATTTCTGAGTATACTCATGTGGTATATCAGACCAGTTGCATTAGTAGAAGCACCAAATTGCACAAAAAATTGGCATGTTACCCTTGTATTGGTCGCCACGAGGTGCTGATCAGCAATATGATCAACTTGAGCAAGAGAGGTTACAGTGCTGTCAAACAATGAATTCACATCACGTGGTCACGTGATGGCTGGCTGACTTGCTACATGGAAGCTTCTCCCGTTATGTGAATTGCAAGTGTACCTGCGATACCAGTCATTTACCCTAGTTATTTTGTGAATAAAACTGTGGACACCTCAAGTGAACGGTACTGGCACACTTGTCTAGGTTGTTCATCCTATTGCAGATGGGTCATGCCTATCACTGAGTTGTCACTCAATTATTTCTGAGTATACTCATGTGGTATATCAGACCAGTTGCATTAGTAGAAGCACCAAATTGCACAAAAAATTGGCATGTTACCCTTGTATTGGAAAGTTTAACTACAATCATGCTTTGTCCAGCTAACTGGGCAGTGGAGAAATTTTCCCGAATATCTGACAAGCATTCTTATGCGCTTCATTTATTCGTCTGTTCCTACGTAAAAGTTCGAAAATTTAATTTAACTGGGAAGCACCCAAAATTCATGGATAATCAATTTTATTAGTTCATTGTTCTTTATCACAGATTCACCTAGTTTACTTGACAGTCAGTTCTCGGCAGCTGTTCCTTTACCGATTTCTTGGAGATCGTCTAAACCTGAGGCATGATTCTTTTCAATATAGCCATCCACACATTCAGAGTGAGCAATGCTTGCTGGGGAAAGTTATTTCCGAACACTTCTAAATGCTGTCGTTTTCTATATCATTCGCTATCGACTTTCGGCTGTTTACGTGTTTTATGACAAATGCCAATAATTAACATCGCTTCGTTAGTATGTTTCATTCACCTTGATTCGGTTTATCCCCATGTGTTAGGAGTTGTAAAATTCTGCTGCAAAATTCTTGGTGGGACAAAACACAAAAGCTAATGAACCCACAAAATTCTTGCTCACTAGAAGTGCACATAAACGAGCATATTTCGGATCATTACGTCTACATGCGATTGGTTGTATATTAATAAAGTAACCATCAATGTCACAACTGTACCCCTTACAGGACCCTTCCACGATCTGACGCATGTTTGCTCCGCGTGTAAAATGAGCTGACCCTTGTACCTATCACAAAATCCTCACACTTCTGCAGTCACATTTTATTCTAGTGTGATACTGAGAAAACTCCATTCTTACGTACTTGATTGGCCAAAACTCCAAGCGCAGTAGCTGTGCTGATTTCAAGTTCTCCAAACCAAGTGACCGCTAGCGCGGATGGAATGCCCAGAATAAAGACCTGTGCCACGGCATCCATTATCTGTCCAACCATCAGCACCGGAAATGCGGACATCTGTGCAAATGTCGGTGACTCATTTGTGATGGTGTTTGGGTCAACAGCTAGCACCCCACCCACACATTTGATCCAACCCCCCAGGGCGTTTGAACAGGTTGCTAATATCACGGTGATTCGGAGCCCATGCCGATCAAGCAGCCAAGTCGCTGGAATAATCAGGGGGATGTAGGCTATCATGTAAACGATCGACAAAGTGTCCACTGCGAGTTGGCGTTCTGCAGCTGTTCTCCCTAAAACGATGACCAAAAAAACAAAGGAAACATTAATGAACAAAGCCAGTTTGTCATGTGTGAAGCGGAAAGCCAGAAAAAGATTTTACCAAGTGCTGCAATAAACTCTCCAAAGAGGTGTTTGAGGTGAGCGTATTCCCACTACTTCACTAGCATACATTGGATAAACCCGGATTATCACGTCTGAACAACAGACCATGATCATATTTAAGCGACCTTATTGGTCTGCCCACGACTGAGAACTTGTTTTTAAATTAACATGCAAATTCCCATTACCCGTTCATCTACAGGAAAGTGAAGAGGTCATCAGTGCATTGCAATTATAATTCCCAGTATTAAAACCGACACCGGGATATTCAGTAGATCGATTTCGAGTATTTTTCTTGAGACAGCCGTCGAAGTATTGTGCCATAAAGCAGGATGTCGCCCAAGCTGCTTCCAACCATACCGTAACAAAAAACATTTCCTCCCACTATGCAATGACCAGAACAAACAAATAAACCTGGGTAAAGATGAAACTCAAAAAATGACCACGCCGGAATGATCGAATTCATCCAAAATAAAAAACATTCATTCTAATAAGTGCTTCTGGTCGAATATGGCAAAAAATGTCTACCTCTGGTCGTTGGCTTGTTCGCTGAGCTGGGCAATTTGGTTGCAAACGTTTCATCACCAATCGAGGGGACATCATCAGTGCGTAGTTGTGCGTAGCGGGGGGTTAGTTAGACAACCACCAACCCGCCGCTACGCACTGATGATGTCACCTCGATTGGTGATGAAACGTTTGCAACCAAATTGCCCAGCTCAGCGAACAAGCCAACGACCATCTACGCTACCTGAGCTACCGACATTCTCCTCTATAGAATGCCTACCTCTAAAAGGGCGATAAATTTTACTGAGTTGAGATCTACAGGCGCATATTTTTTTGTCGGAAGGAGTTGAATATGCCTTTGTATCTGACATATTACCGGAATAATGAATGGATTAATCGCTTATTCGTGATATTCTTGAAAGAAGTCAGCTTTTCAAAAGGCACTGTGTAGTTTCCTAGACCCATACCCAGGGGATTGATGTCTGGTTCACCCTGAATTTATCTATTTCGTTAAAAACACATCCTGTAAAGAATCAGCATTACCCCAAATTTTACATGCATGTCTGAAATTAGGAATGCTTGATTTAATGTCCAAAAAAGAGGAATGAATGATAACTTTTCGAGAAACATTTACGGGCTTCAAATGAGGCAAGAATAGCAGTGGGATACTGGTATGTTCTCACAAACTTCAGGCACTATTTGCCAAAAATGGTCTGGAACTTTTATTGCCGAGTTTCCGCAGCTATGCTCATTCTAGACCCGTTGAACATAAACATCACCAATAACAAAAATACGAATGGTGAAGCAATTTTGGACCGAAGGAGCTGTAAAACGGTTCAGTTTAATGAAGTGTTTCACACTGATCTCTGCTTAGAGGCCTTGTTCCTGTAAAAGAGCAAATATTCTTGTTCATTCATTCCAAAGCGTGGGCTCAAGTTTCATAGGTATTAGACTACTCAACAGCATATATCCGTCGCCGCGCTAGGATTCGAACCCATGATATTCGACATGTTAAGGTCGTGTGTTACGTTCACTGCACCAATGCACGCTGAGGTCACATCAGTCATCAAATCCGACCGGGCTAAGTTGTTAAGTCGTGACGACGGACGCGCGAGATGAATCAAAAAACAGTCTAACTATTACCGTTTTCATCGGGCAAATGCCGCGTAGCTTTCAGATTGATTTCAACGGAAACCACTCCAAAGTACTCATAAATGTGACATATCGCTTTCCTCTTTGAGGGAAGTTCCCACCAGTTACGTCGACGAACAACATGAATAATCAGAGATGCCTCCGCTGCCCAAAAGCTTTGCGGCCAAATAACATTCCGTAAGACAAACTTACCGGCTACAAAATGTCTGTTGATCACCAGTAAGGGCGAATCTAATGTACAACGGCTCAGTAAAACTCACAAAATTATTTCCCAAATAGGAACTACCTAGTCAGTGCGTGCGGTCAAAGAGTGCGACATAAGTTGACGGCAAAATATAAATCTATGCAAGGATCGTCCTCCACAAAGATGACTTTAAATGCATTTTCACCTGGAATAGACACGTTCCATATGTACAGAACGCGATCGGAGATGATATTCAAATGAATCCAGTGGTAGGAGTTGGACATTGAACAACAGCAGAACATGGCCAATATGAACCATCGCCTTCGGTACAGTATGGGCTGGTACTGTCCCTGACTGCTGGACATGCCTGTGAAATTGTCAGGGTCAGACATTTCAAAGGCCATCCACAAAGGAAACAGTCTGGGTTGTCCTCACAGCATAGCTGGAAACAAAACAGAAGAAATCTTCAACTCTACTATGTATTAAAGCTTTTGCCATGCTACCACAGACTCCAGGACTGGAGGATGCCTAAAAAATACAACAGGCCGTTTTGTGCTGTGAGAATACAGAAGTAAATGAGTGAATTATTTCTGCTACACTCAGCTGCTGTTCACACCCACATCGAGAACACTTATTACCACTGTAGAACTGGTTTATTCGAAGATTCCTGACTTACCAAACCTTCTTAAACAGCGAAAAATCACGGGCGGAATCTGCATTGCCGCAATACTATAAGAATACCCATATTTGTCCACGAGAACTTGGGGCTACGCACAAGTCGGTTCTTCGAAACTGCATGTGTAGCCAGAGCAACCTCAGGTTCACGCTAAACACCATGCACAAAACATACCTCAGGGGAATTAAGATTCAATTATTTGATTCGGATGGATAAACAGACTGAAAAACGGATGAGAATGTATGTTAACAGTCCATTTGTTCGCCAGCTTTAATGAGTAGTTGTCGGGTAGGGCGCAGCGAGTTTGCAAGTCAATGGCTGCGACAAGTACGCAGTCACTGTTGCCCCAGACACAGCAGCATACGTCAGTGCCGAGGACGTCCGGATGACATAAAAGGCTAGTTTGTCTTGTTACCTTATTTGAGGTTCACACGTTAGGATCAGATGATTCAATTATTTATAAACTGATTCCAAGTTACCCGAAGATGTTCCTATAGGCAAGCGCTCAGAAATCACTGTAAGCACTGACACTGTCCCCTGAAGTACCAATATTGTCAAGAGCACTTTCACACGAACATTGCGACCGCAAATACAAAACCGTGCACCCAAGAGTTTCTTTTTCCCTCGAGCAGCACTGTCTACTGAAAATTCACCCGGCGACCAAATGAGTTTTGTTGTGAAATCAAAGCTACCCATAGATTGATAGTAGTGTGGGAAGATCCGTTACTTTTCGAATAACATATCCTTTTATCAGTGAGGCAAAGAGGAAGACCAATTCCGGAAGATGAGTGAAACTCCCATTACACTGAAGGAAACAGGCAGTGCGTGATAACGTGATGTGGTTTCTGTTAGTGAGAGTTGGACGCAGCTCTATTCTTTCCAAGTGGGGACTAATCACGCTGCCGAAAGTCTAAGTTTCCATCCACTGGTCCGAGTTTTGCGGGTTCTGTATTTCCTGATATTTCGTCAGAAGCTCACTGATGAATATTCTCAATAAAGAAGAAACGACCGCATGATACTTGTCGGCTTTTCAGCATAGACTGGATTTACCGCAGGGGCGAATTCTCACTGTAAATTTGCCCCCATTCCCCATATTACCAACGTAACAAAGATAGCTTTAATCGGCAGGGGTAATTCCAGTGAAGGATGTTCTACGTACGCACTTGTCTGCATACCAAATTGGTTTAGACGAAAGATTCACCTGTAACGCAACTGAACCTCTCACTTATGGTAAGTGTGTAAGTCATGCAACTTGGTGTCAGGTAGAACGTAAGACTGAAATAAACTCGGGGCTGCGCCCAAGTGAAAAGCCTCAAGGGGGGAAAATCTCCTCATCGGCTATCCACAGTGAGTGTTTCGTACTCATGATTTGTCGTGATGTAATCTGATTCCCGGATAGGCTGACGGCTTTTATTTGCCAACAGATGTAAGTAAATCAAGTGAGTTTGGGAAGGATGAGTTTGCTAATGTTTTCACTGGGTAGCTGAGATATAGTCAATCGGGCTGAATGACTAACCTCAGGAAGCGCTAAAGCACAGAAATCATCGTCATATCAAATGCAGTGGAAAAAAGATTTTGTACGTACAATGCAGCGAAAATTACGAAAATACAAATGTTCTTATACTACATATTTAGAAATTTAATGTGGCAAGTTTTCTGTACCGTCAGACGAATCAGAATGCAGAGAATTTACTTAGGGTAGACTAGCCGAGCTGAATATGATTTGTAAAACCGCTATATTTTCCAAATCCCCTGCATTTCTATCATTCTAAAGCTTATGTCTCTATACTGCTGAAATTTCTCACATAAGAACATGTTGTCTGCCTTCGTTTTCAGAAAAAAAACGTAGATTCAACTAGCCTTCGTGGAACATGAACCTCTGTACTTTGTCCCTGATTCATAGCCGTCTATATGTTGGTTTCGAAATGATTTTAGCCTTCGTGTGAACCTCTGTACTTTGTCCCTGATTCGTAGCCGTCTACATGTTGGTTTCGAAATGATTTTCCGAACCCAACGAGTGTATGGAATTCCTGAGGCACTCCCTGCATTTATCATCCGAATTTTTTTTATCATCGCACATTTGTAGGTCATGAACATCGAAGCTAAATTCTTACGATTGCAGGCAAGGCAAAAACATGGAAATTGTGTGGATTTTTTGAGCCGTTAGATTCATCAGGAGACGGGCATCGGAACACGAATGTAGTAGCTCATAGCGAAAATTTCACTGATGGAAAGCATACATCCAGCTGCTGATTTAGCATAACGAATACGGAAGTTTTGTGCATTCCAGAGGAATGATCACAAGTGAAAAGGTTTAGGATGACTTCTGAAGTCAAAACGTTCACAATAACAGTATGACGGCTGTGTTCCATGCACGGAAACGCCACGATTGATTGGGACGTTACTAAATGACCTACGGTTGTGTATACTAACCCAGCAATTTTTGTACAGAATATTTACGCAAAATCCTTTATAGTGGAATGTTCTACTATGTCTTCGGCAATCACTGCGCTGTCAAAGGATTGATACACAAGAACGTCTATCAGACTGACCATTACCATCTAGATATTGCGCTAGCTTGAGTTCCTCACGACAGTAAACTTTGGTAATTTCTGAGCGTTTATAAAAACTGAAGCATCCGAACTACCGAGACACGGAAAACGTTGATTCCATTGTCTCTGAACCATGAATAGTGTAAGCCTATTGCTGTCAATGAGAAAAGCGATGATATGTTGTAAATCCTCTTCAATACTACTTTTTATTGGCAGTTACCTTGGCAGAGTGCATTCATATTTACAGACAAAACATCAGATACGAAGGACCAGACGTTTTTCGTGTCTCAGTATGTCCAGTCGTTGAGAAACAAAGAGATCCAACAGATGTTGGCCTATACTAAGCTAAGCTTAGCTTTTGTGTTAAGTCATTCAAAGATTGCATATCCACACTTTGCAATTCATGAACGCCGCATGTAATGGTAAAGGAGTGATGTGACCAAGACGGCTACACCTGAGGATAAAGTACATGACTTGTAAGCGACGTCATCACCACACATATCGCAGTCATATCTAGAGCCCACGGTTGTTCCATGGATCTAGATACCCTGACAAACACAAATTCATACTAAACTAGCTTGGTTTTTTTACATTTGTCGCATTTTTGTCCCTATTCGTTTGAGGTAACGAGGAAGCGAAACAAAAGTTCACCGAATACTGCAAACAGATCTAGTGATTTGGACAGTAACACTGGGACTACAACATAGTTTTTTTCGAAGCGTTTTAGGAAGCTTGACACTGATAAGTTAGAACAATTGGCAGTCATCGCATTATGAGTCAGAGATAGCTCAGTGACTAGAGTGTGAACTTAGTGACCAGAAGATCTCTAATTGAACCCCAACCTCGAGCACCTCGATTGACCGTGCCTAGGCTTGAGAAACTTGGCAGTATTTCAGCGCTTGTGCCTTCCTAGGGGTGAGGTGACAGCTAAGCACCGAAAGGACCTTAAGGCTGTGTGATTACTTTTATTGGTATTAGTCAATAAAGTGCTTATTCACTGTGCTGAGATCAGCTGTTGCAATTGGAATCAACCTCACGGAATTAGGTGATGAATTTCTCGATGCTGCTCAATTTAACTCAAGGTGCTGCTGCCTAAAGATATGGCAGCAGGTTATCGTGGAGTTGGCTCAACAAGATGTACCATCAGAAATGTTTTCTTGCGTCACCGGAAGATGCATTTTACTCTCCCACTTATTTACATCCTCAAGAACCTTCTGTCAGGTGCAGTAACGGCGATCTGACCATTAATCAAACACTACTCGAAAGCACCATTAGTAGCACGCACCAGCGCACTCGTCGAATGGGCTTTTTAAATTTTAGACAGGTTAGTTTCATTAGGCAGTCGGCTGCCTGTTATTGGTGACATCTCTCCTAGCATAACCGGCTCATCAAATACAGGACCAGTCGCATCGTTCGAAGTGAGTTATGTATACGCACACATGATGAATTGACTGTACGAAAGATCCGGCATGTTGTGCTTGCTTAGCCTTGGACTTGATCCGTGCACTTCTAATTCCCAGTAACAAATACGATATTACATGCAGGGATTACACACCTTGCATTTTACCGGATAATTATGCGGAGAAGAATTAACCAACTTTCCCTGCAAAAGACTATTAGTAATCTCCGGAACAAAACCAGTTCCCCGGAGGTGCTGAAATAAATGAACCTGCAGTGAAATCACAATATTGTCAACAAGCAAATGTCGAAGTTCATGTGATTTCGGTGAATCGGTTAGGGAGAACAAACTATCTAGACAAGGAGAAATTGGTAAACAGGTGATCCAGAAAACAAAACAACAACACTTGGTGTAGTTTTGGGGGTTTTTCATATTTGCTCACGGTTGAAAATACTGAAAGCTTCCTAGAGAGTATTGTTTGTACGAAAGAACAGTCTTATTTGGTTTCTTTGCTGGTTGTTTATTACACTCCAGTGCATTACTACATTTCCACTAATTGAGACCCTTTAGCTGATAAGACCAAAAGTCCCCCTTCCAAAAGAGAACTTTCGAAAACGGCTCAAAACAATAGTGCAATAATACCAGCTATTTTTGTTCAGGCGACATAATGACCAGATACTGCACATATTCAGACCTACCTATATATTAAACTTGCAGGTGATTATTTCAGCGAGTTACCTGTTCACTGATCTCTGCCCACTGTCGATTGTCACATACGGTTTACACCAAACGCGCTTATTTAACATACCTGAGCACTCACAGCTGCAGACAGGAATGCTCCGTGTGCGTTCTGCATGAGCAGCACCTCGGATGGACGCAATTGGTTGGTTACTTGATGCACCTTCCAAATAAAGGTGCGGTGGGTTTATGGTGAAGACAGAAAATCAATGTTCCCTTCATCGTGTGGATTTTGACGGATCCAAATTAAATACACTCGTCAAAAGAAGTTTAGTTACCGTTAGTAGAACACAATTCAGAGACATGGTATCTGACGAGACACCCCAAAGCAAATATACCTCCACTGGGAGGGTAATGACTGAGCGGCGGAGTTTTCAAATCAACAAATCCACAAACCTTCAGGTAAAATATCCTGTACTTTCCAGCAATTTGTATCAATGCGCAAACACTTGAGGGCGTCTTGTGCAAAGTTTAGCTGACTCAATCGCCCGTCAAACAAGTGAAAACGTTTTCACATGGTTTGACTGATAGCCTAGCTCTGGATGGGTACAGAATAAAATCCCTTGGAGCTCCTCAGAGTTGCCCCTTCATATGGCCGAAGAAGCGCAGCAGTTTACCGTCCTTCGTGTTTAATACACTTGCTGTTCTTCCGGTTGTTGTGTGGGGAAACATGTCTGATTTTGCTTCATCGGTTTTGGGTGAATAAAAATTACTTTGCATAGACGTTGAAGGAAAAACTGACGAGTAGGCAAAAACTTCGTCATAATGCGTTAATGTGGGCACGCCACGAATGTGGATGCTTGAGGGATTTATTTTAGGTCTGTTCTATTCCTCACACTAAGACCGTTTTCCTCCACTCCCCAAATGTGATCCCGTTGCCCCAGTGTGAGCAACAACGCTCCCTTTGAACATTGTCCTGTAAGTGGTCATAAAGTTCCTCTGAGATTCCTTAGTGGTTTCTTTGAATAGAATATACTAATAATAATGTTGTAGATTTCATCACAGTGAAGCTGAGAAAACCACAGTTGTCACAGTCCATTTCCAAGGCAATTTGCAGATATTATCATCCGTTATACCCAGGTAGATGTTTAATGTGAACAGTGTTCTTGCAGTCCGTACATATTATGTATATATAATCCTTAATTAAATACGTAAATAAAGAGGGCAGTCTAGCAACATGTGCTGTTGTTGTTATTTTAAATCAGTTACCGTTCTCGAGAAGTATACTCATTTGCAAATCAATTTGGCTTTCACGAGAGACTCAACTGAATCTCTCGTTTATGATATTCTACAACTGAATGTGCTGTACACAGGCCACCTCATGATTCAGTTGGCACGATATACAAGATATCGCAGTATATTTTCATAAAGGATATTGCTAAAAATAGTCCAATTTGGGTTCAAGTAGAACATAAGATTAACGGAAACTTGGGGACTGCGCCTATCTGATGAGCCCCAAGAAGGGCGAAACCGGTCGTGGGCTGTCGAAGAGTTTTCAGGCACCTTCCGTGTAGTTTGCTTTGTGAAAACAGCTACCAGAATTGGAAAAAGAAGACAATCGAATTTTGGGATCAAAACGTAGTCTGCATAATAAAAATAGTAACTATGTTCGCAATGAATACCTTCACTGGCAGTGTTCACGAAACACACCAACGTTTTTCTTTCTTAATTGGAATCTGTTCCACCACATGTTGCCGTGACTGTACTTCAGCCTAACTACAAAGTAAACAGCCTCTTGATACAAAGAAATGTTGGCATCACCAAGGTGAACAGCAGATTTCCTGGGTACACCGGCTGTCTAGTGTGGTGATCGACTGGTAGTTTTAGGTTACTAACGAAAGTGCATTCTCCACGCAATGTTTCCTTCTGCTGCAGGAAATCAATTTGGAGTTTGAAGGCGTTGAGGTATGGTAGATTTTATGTTGACGCCAGGAATACTGTAAATCTACAGGCACAATTTCGTTACTTCCTGAGAGGCAACTGGTCTGGCTATCCGCATTGGCAGTACCGGGTGTGCTTACCCTTCTGAGGAGGAAAGTCAAAGGGATTATTTATGATGTCTAATCAACACAACACAGAAATTGGTTGGCTACCGAATGGTTTGGTCACAGGGGAAGTTTTGCAGTCTCTTTGACTCATTAAGTGGGTTTACGGTTTATACAGGATACCATTTGGTCAGAAGTTTCAAGTGGTAGAAATTTGGTTGAATGACTTCAACTTCCTGGTTCCGCTTTTGGCATTAGCACCCTGACTAAAACGAGTAACAAAAGCGCATCAAACTTGATAAATTCATCGGTTTCTCAATTAAGAATTCTATCCAACTGTTACTGTCTTGTTGGATTGCAAAGCACTCATGCCTACCGATTTGCAGATTAGTAAAAATTATCACCACGATTGCCACGATGAACTGGTCCGCATACCTCATATCTGAGAGCCCCAGAATTGAATTTGACAACTCGTAATCACCCATATAAATTGTGTTGCAGTTGCTCTATTGCATAGGTGCGGCTCAGAAGACGCAGGCGGCCCTAACCCCACTTAATTAAACAATGTTTGTGCAGGGACACTTCAGCAGAACAAAACATATAGGCACAATTCTTGTGAACATAAAAACCATGTTTGTGCAGATAGAGCAGTCACACTGAATCACAAAACAGCTTTTCCTAAAAAAGCCGTTTATACTTGGACCATGTAGCTCGATGAGCAACTTTACCCGTGTGTGTTGCGCACAGTCATGCATACCTAGATCAACTTACATCTGGAGTCCAAATTTGTCAACCAAAAGTAAATTACAGATGCAGAATAGCGGTTCATGCGTCTCGGATCTGTGGAAAAGCCAAGGCGTCCACGCGCACACTGAAATCTGTCTTAGTTTTGCTTGCCTTAACTTTTCCGCGTAAAGCTTTCTGAAGCATTATGGGGTTGATTTTTGAATGGGTTACGTTAACACCACAGAAACGGAGGTGCATGAGTGGTTTGGAATTTACCTTCTCAGATGACATCATTGAGGTTGAACGTTTTAACTGCCCGTAATTTGTTGATTTTTGAATGGGTTACGTTAACATCACAGAAACAGAGGTTCATGAGTGATTTGGAACTTACCTTCTCAAATAACACCACTGAGGTTGAACGTTTTAACTGCCCGTAATTGACAGACGAATCTCGTGATATAGACAGGATGACTGAAAAATTATGGACATGTATGTCCAGGTTTAGAGGACAATTATCTACTAGTCCAAACAGACAGATTAGCCCCTCGAGCCTTCTCGAACATGGTCCTCCGTAACATGATCATCATAAGTGCGTGAAAACTGGCTGACAACTAAGGAGCATTGCTTACGTGTGTTGTCTGGAATAGCGTCAGCTCTGCGTAGCTTGCGCCTATATTAGTAGGGTAACCTTAATGTATCCGAATGTCTTACAAACGCATTTTAAATCTGGTCTCCTATTCACAAAATGATTTCAAAAACTGAAGCCCTCCTTGATTACAGCGGGTTTCCAGCGAAACATAACTTTCTGAGAAGATACTAGCAGCAAAAGTGGGCCTTCGGCAGGTGTCAGAGTTGTGAATAGAACGGAGAAGGAACTGGAAAGATTGTACAGCAAACGCATTCGTTTCCTGTGCTTCAACGTGGCCTAGTTCGGTTACATTCCGCTGCATCATTTCAATGGAGGCTTTGGTTTGCTCAGGGTAGGTTTGTACGTCCGACTGGCAACAGCCTCCGCTGCCAGTCCAATGCCACATCCTACTTTCTACGTAACTCATCATAATAAATATCACAAAGGCGGTGTACAATGGGTTATACACGTAGAAAATAATCAAAACTCACTGCTATTAACGTCACATCAGATGGAGTGCACTTTTAAAATTCATCAATGCTTCCATCTATCGTCCAAACCCAGGTTCTAGCCATACGAGGTAGCTGCAAATTTTACATTTTAGGTCACGTGAAAATAGGGTAGACGACTGCGCGTGAAGTACATCTGTGTGCGTTAAACCTGGAAATACATACTCAGGAATGATCACACGCTCTTGGTATCCATATGAAATAAAAACCAATGTTCTTGGAAGACCCATCTAGAACGCCTTATTGAGCTGACAAGTATCATGTGGCAGTTGGTTGGACAAAGCTCTGGTGCATCACTGTGGAATTCAAGTGAAGAGCAGTCATCAGTCAGAAAAGAGACGTCTAGTTCGAATAACTTCCCATTGTTTCCATCTTCTCTTCCGCATATACTAGCTAAGATTCACACCTGAAAACCTACCCAATAAACGCTGAGGTGGGCTCGGATATCCAGACACACTACGGAGTGTGACTGATGGAGTTAACCGATTGAGCTTGAATACTTCGTTTAATAACCTCTTGATAGCACTCGATAGGCTTTCTTACGCCGTCGCTCATCTAAACTTTTTTGATAATCATTCTGTCTTTCAAATAGAATATAAGCTAGTGCAGTCAACACCAGATAACTTAATGCGAGAGCTCTTCTTTCACCCGCGATACCGCTTAAGCAATGAGGCTTTTACGCCTTTTAGTGGGTTTCCCTGCCAGACCCGGAAGTAAAGGCCATAGTTGAGAAGTGCTGGTATGGACTTGATCCGGTAAGGTCAGGCGTAATATAATAGCCCGTGCCCGTTGAAAGGAGTAGAAGACAACTAGTTGCTCATCCACCCGGACTAAGGGACGCGTTTTTGGCTAGAGCTATTGTACCATCCTCGTTGACCTCATTTCTTGCATGCGGTGACTGGATTTGGCCACTCTGAGAAAGTCTTACTATCTTTAAAAGGAGAGGCGCTCTCGATTCTTTTCTTCTGTTCTCATCGTGTACAGAATGGTCCCTCACTTTAGTTTCCGTTTTCGCTCATATTACCTTTCTTGTTTTGACTTGAGTGTTTAACGCCCTTTGGTCTTGTTAACTCGAGTCTTGTTAGGATCAACCACGTGGGATTCGCCATCTTGTAGCCACCTTGTCTTTAATCGGTGCGACCTCTCGGATCCGATTTGGAAGCTCAGAAGCCGGTTTAATCCGAAGATTTGAGCACTGGTGATTGTTTCCAGCAATCGTTTGAGCCACAAATTTGTTGATAAACCTCCATTTGGACAATTTGATCCTTGGGATATTTTCTGAGTGCTACTCAACGTGGCTCAGCTGATTACTGGAAACTATCAATACTTATTCCGGATGTAGTAGTCTTGAAGAACATCAAATTGCGATTCGCCCCTCAATAGATGAGCTTTTCCAGTACAAAGTTTCGGGCCTGCTTGAATGTTTTTTCTAATGTTTAGGTCGCTTTTCTCAAGTGTGTGCAACTGGTTTCAAATACATCCACATAATGTATGAAGAAGCACAACAGTGAATTTTTTCCCTTCCCAAAAACATTCCAAGAAATACCCTTAGAACCGGTATTACGTTGGACTGCTCCCGCTTGACCATAATTACAGACATTTCTTATATCTACTCCTTAATGGGGGACAAACTGGGAGAACTAGAAGACTGCGAATACTTTCTTTAACATTGAGCCACCATCCGTTGTAAGCTACCCAGACCGATCTGGATGGTAAGTCTATATATGGGACGATAACTTCGTACAACAAGTGGCAGAAATAAGACTAAATTTATTCCCAGTGCGCCGACAATATACATCTAATAAACCAGTAACGTAACTATCCAAGACAAAATTAAGATGTTTTCCATGCCTAAAGCTTCAGTTAGGACTTCAGTTCAAATGGACACGAGTGTACACATGGTTTTGAATCCCAACAATCCTACCTGTTTGCTCAAACTTTACTCCACGCTAAGAATAACTCACAAGTCCTTGGCACTCTTCCACTGAGAGTAAAGGATTGCTCAATCCTCAGAAAAGATTAAAATTGTCTGTCAGGAAGGTCAGAATAATGAAAATAATCCCAGAATGCCTGAAACCTACCGAGATTCCCAAACTCTACAAGGACCTCATAGGAAAACTGGCAGGCATCCGAGTTGGTCAATCAATTGATCAATTTTGCAAAGTAATCAGACACGTGACTGAGGCACGACTATGGTAATTGTTCGGGCATTTCACAGAGTCACAGTCGATGATGATAGGTATTCACCAAACGCAGATCAGACAGCCCGGATAAAGGCTAAAAGTTCCCTATAAATAGCGCGAGGTCGTTGTGAATTTTGCACCCGCTTGTTCAAAGTAAAATTGTTGTGTTCCTTGTTGGTGAGTCTTTTCCCGGCACTGAGGCACTGAAGCGGGGGCAGTAGTAGATACAACACTATCTAACCACAAAATTCCGTTGACAGCAAGGCAAAAATGGCAGATGTATTCTGAATTGACCATGCAACAATTTACACCGAATTAAAGGAGAAAACTTTGAAGGGAATGTGCTGGCCGGAGCGAAGAATTTGATGACATTCCACTGTCTAATTAGTTTAACCTACAACTGATATCTTCACAGCTGACAGCCAACCATATGTTAGTTTTAAACCTATGACAGACGTTGGCCCCTTTGTATGGTTCCAACACGGCAAGAACATTCTTGTACAAAGAAGCAACTTTCTTATTTTCACCGGAAACCGCCCCTAGAGAAAACCATAGAAATTTGTGCTTCTTGAGGATGGTGTTGAAGATTTATTCAGAAAACGCTCACAATTGGGAACCCTTCTTTAAAGCAACATTTTAAACACTCAATGGAATTTTGCTGAAAATATACCGTTCTCTGGTCAAGCTATGGCTTCAAAACTCTAGAAGCTATAACCTGAGGACCATGGAATGCAAACTGTGCTAATTCCAGACCTGTGCAACCGGGGTATAAAGAATCCTCATATAGGACTAGTTAAACAACCATCCAGTTATCTTTCTCTCTGGACGCCTTTTCATGCATTTTGCATATTATTTGGAGGTTATCGCCAATGACCATCCACAGTTAGATCTTACTCATTTAATTCAACTTTCTTGCGTCTGGAGGCATAAAACGTTCTGGGATACTGACGACTTTTCCTGCAGAGTGAAGCCACACAAGACACCCCGAAAGGTAGCACACTTTTATCGTCACTTAGGCTTTAATTAAAACTGCGCCCTTCTAAAATAAGTTGCGTAAGATGGAATGGCTCTTGTAAGTGAAGAAATTGAGCTGGCAAAAATTCAGATTTTCGACATTCCTCATTAGGTTAGCTTAGTTCGATTTTTCACGATGTGATGGGCCAATAGTTGAAGATATTCTGCGCAGCTGAAACCAACTGGTAAGTACCAAGCTATCATTGGTCAAGGCGCTCTGAGAATTCATTAACACACGGGAACGTATATTCCGGAAAACCTGGGGGATGGTTCAGCTCAAGCTGGCAAAAGGCACAAACGCTTTCACATGCTACTTTTGTGTATTACGGAAAAAATTTTGTCCAGTCGGTGTGAATGACTTTCTTTCCTCGTAGTCGAGATGATGTGGACCAAGCGTATAACAAAGATAGGAATCAGAGTTGGTTATATATTGGTAGGTATCTCACGGTGTCCCAATTCACACGTGATATTCATCAGAACAAACGGTGCCGAAAAATGAATTTGATTATTCTGATTGCTCTCATGCAAAATCATAGCGAATATATATATATAGCATGAAAATCATAGCGAATATATATATATATAGTGGGCACTTGCTTCATGACTGGGCACGGAATTTCACGGACAAAGGGTTCAAAGTGGTCAATAGGGTAACTCAGGAAGGCTTGTTCGTGTAGCTGGAATGATCTTTTGCCAACACGGGTTAGAAGGTCGTACTGGCTTCTTCGAGCTAGAGAGCTGTGCGATCTGTGACTGGATTTTAACGGTCTCACCAGCCGACGAGATTGTCACTCTCACTCTGCGTGCTCAGCTTGAAAACGCAAAGCAGGTTACGGGAGAACATCTCTTCCAATAGACCAATGCTTCTCAGCCGGGTGTATCGCAGTATCGCTTATACTCTTTATCCCACTCCCCATTTCAATGGAGTTGTCCGCTAACCGCTAGGCTCACTGCGGCCAAACGAGCAAATGCCAGGAGAAGTTCAAGTAGATACTGAAAACCCGTTTTCTAGTTGGAATATTGTACCAGCAGTGCAACAGAGGCTCAAGCGTATATTAGTAGCTCTGGAAAGAATACTATTTCTTGGCCATCTGGAGTCCAAAGTAGCATTTGAATATTCTGTAAATGGATGGTTTCTCGGTTTTAGTCTTTAATATGAATTTTTGTGAATAGCTCTCTTCAGTAGGGCACATTTCCTGAAGTTTTAGTACCCCTTTCAGACATTTGCTATGAACTTCACGATTGGGTATTGTATCGGGATTTATCCCTGTCCTGGTAAGATAAAACTGTAAATATGTACTCGCCCGTCTGCGTCCGTCTACTGCACATTTTGCACTGAGCATTAACTCTCTCTTGAAATTTCTGAACTCAGTTCACCAAAATATTCGGTCTACTCTGTCTAGTCTAAAATACCACATTAGCTCCATGTTAACATGTGAAATAGAAAGGATGGAAGAATCTCCATTTTTGAGAACGTTGTTTGTATAGCGACCTAATGTCCTGGTGTTCTCCGCGTTTGACCTGCTCATTGAAATCAAACGCATCCTCTGGACTGTTTCCTAATCGCTGTTCGTGTCCGAAAAGCTTGAGTTCTGATGATATGATCGTTTTCTGAAAATCAACCTCATACTGACTTGCCAGTATAATGATCTGAATTGCAGGATTTGAGCTCATACCACACAATATGAGCCTGTATCTTAAGTCCTAGGCCGGCTACTCTCGATCACAAGCAGCATCATTCGGGTTGTTGGTACTTACAGAGCCCATTGATATCTCACTATGTAACCCACATGTTCGTCCGAATGGAACGTGGGATATTCCTGTGTCTGTGCCGGCTCTAGGGATATTCTCATCCCCCGACTTAGTGGTTTCATGCATCCATGGAGCTGTCTGACTGGGAAGTCCTGTCGGGCGGGTCAGTCGATCGACACAACCAGAACAGTTACTGAGTCACCGTTCAAAACGTTCGTCAAGCCAATCACATTGCTCGAGTGTGGACACGTTCGCCTGCACAGACTTCATAATTCAGATGCGTCCAATCACATGCTCGAGTGTGGACACGTTCGCCTGCACAGACTTCATAATTCAGATGCGTCTGGTATGCGTTAGATTAGTGGCAATATGCTTGTCTCGCATGTCACACGTCCGGAGTTCCCAGTCCCTAACTGCCAAGGATAATCAACGTTGAAGGGTTCTAACAAAAGAAAACTCCACTCTAGTTCTCTGCCCATCACCTTTGAAGTGAACTCACCCAAATAATTGCGTCATGACAGGAGGAACTGGTTCGGTATATGGTCCGAACTTGAATTCTACAAATCCCACAACCGCCTAGAATACCTATGAGAACCTTCCGTTCTGGAAATGTTTTCGGTTGCACAGATCAGCGTGAAAACCATAGTCATTGATGATCGGAGCAATAGTTCGAACTGAACTTGAGAACCTCAGCAACCTGACTTGAATCTGCTGATGAACCGAATCGCCGGCATCTACCATCTTGAAGGTTGCCTTTCCTGGGTCGCAATCTTTCATCTTGTCTTCCACCAATAATTATTCACTGAAACGTGCGTGATCATCGACTCATTGCCCCTGACACCTTATTATGGAGTTCAACTCTTACTGGTGCAGGAGAACAGAATTTCGCTTACTTGCACGGAGAAAGAAGTAGCAAGGCTCCAGATACCACGAATAATGTCCATTGAAGCGTTGTTCCTCTCTTGTTTGACGACATCTTTCAATCGGATGACATTTTCGCTCATCCAATCACCCATGATATGCTATTACAGCACGCCCTGGAACTGGTTTGTCCTCATTTATCAGTTGGGATTCCTCCACTCTCCACCTTCCCAGCTAATATGACCTCCAAACCAACTCAATGTCCACTTCAATCCAACACGTGATTTGTGGCATTTGATGTATGGTTTTTTGTTGCAATTTTCTATCCTCGTTCACAAGTGATGCCTTGTTACTGGTTCTCCGTGGTTCACATCTGTGTGGTGGAAATCTTTTCTAAGGAAACTTTACACTCACATGTTTTTATTGCCTGCCCCCCCCCATAGCTATGCTGATCAGAATCTATAGTTACAGGAATAATCCCCGCATGTGGCCCGATCGCTTAGCACATCACTAATCTAAAAGGTCGCTAACCTGAGCTTCTCTTTGGAAGCGTAATTATGGGGTAAAGCAATGGGTCTTCCCCAAACTTCTGAGGTCAACGTTACTAGGGTCAGGAGACAGCAAACAGCTACTGAATCCTGTGTTTTGCTCAGACCATTTAGAGCGAACGAAGTAACCGAAAGAGAAGGTCGGTTGAGACTAATCAAAATGTTTAACGATTTACAAGTAGGTTGTGTACTATTAACTAAGCGAAAATCTGAAGTTGATTGTCATCTGTCCGGGTAAGCAGCTGTTGCAAGCCTTTTGGCTTCAGTGTCAGCACGAAGGTCAGAAACACACGGTTGGAGAAATATGGCCTCGGTTACATCAGACAGCCGGGTGTGTGTAAACATCCAGTGATTCCATGAGACTTGGTACAGAAAGATTTCCCAGAGAGCCCTGGTTCGATCAGAATCTATCACGTACGTTGTTCTTGAATTGGAGTTGATGTTCCTTAGGTACAGACTGACCGGGGTCTGGGGTACAATTATAAACTGATGTATTCGGAGAGTACCAACTTTATAGCATTCTTCGGGATACTTCTGATTACTGTATTAGTCAAACATACTGAAGACGAACTAAGTAGCACCTAGAAGTAGTACATTTTTCAGCACAGACTTCAGTTGATATCGTTCTTAACCTTTGTTGACTATGTACGCATGAAGTCGTGAAATTGGTTACCCAAATCACTCTAAATTGGCACTTATCGTAAATTTTAGAAAACGCATATGACTTAAACACACATTGTAAGGGTCTCCATGATCTAAATTAGGTGAAATCGGTAGCTTCAAATAAAATGGAAGTATATTCCGGTCGGATAAATTACGATCCACATGAATGAATTTAAACACTCTATGTGAGTGTTTCACTCTTACTGGTTGGCGGTTCGGTTATAGGAGGGCGATACTTGTTTGCTAGTGCAGTATGTTCACCTGTTAACGGCTTTCGTACTATTTGCCAGGGTCAACGTATTTCCTCAGTCCGGCATGCATACACCAGGTGAAGGATTAGGCATCCAAACCTCTGCCTACAGACGGTGAATATCAAAATCAAGTACCGACACCCAATGAAATGAAAAACGTAACTCACATTGAGATGGCGGCTTCTGAACAACAACGTCAAAATATCTCGTTAAAAACTATTTTTCGGCTAACGATGTGCTTTACTGCCCAGTTTGATATGTGGGTTAGATAGTCCTTGGAAAAACCTTGTCCATCATTTTATTTCTGGTCAATTTCTAGTTGAACAACTTTGATGTTCAGATCAGGAATTCCTCTGTTTACTATCTACTACCAGTGAATCTTACTTTGGCGTTGAGGATGGGCACACAATTTTCTGTCTTTGGCAATGTTTGGTTTGTTCACACGCACACAGTTTTGCAGTTTTGCACGACTTGGCCAAAACAATGAAAATACTAGGTTTTTTT